AGTGGCTGTCACAGGAAAGAGTTTTTCAGCAACTTCCACACGGGCAAAGTTACTTTGTGCACACACACACACACACACACACTCCCTAAGAGCAAGATGGCAATGGCTGTCAGTATGAAGAAAAGTGTTCTGATAGAATTTGGGCAACCTTCATGACAAGAAAGGAAATTTATCCGAATTTGCCTCCTTGGATGTGAAAGTTTGAGAGAAGTTTTCCTCTTTTCATTTTTGTTTATTTACACATGGAAAGGCCAGGTTGAGCATCCAAGGAAGGTCTCTGGCTTTGACATTCATTTCTTTTAATTTAGGCCAAGCTGTTAGCAAGATTATAACAAGCAACATTATTTTTCCCCCCCTGGACGTTGTAAAAGAACCAACGCTGCCAAGCTCGAGTTTCCAACACAAGGTGCTCTTTTTTTTTTTTTAGTAGAACCTCTGATAAATGGCTGTTTTTCCTTTTGAACAAGCCATCAAAAACATTTTTTCTCCTTCTGTGAACGCTTGCCCAGCCAAATTATTGTAAGACTAAAGTAGTGTTTCGCCCGCTTAGCAAAATAGCCGTGTGTGGATAAAGCTAATAGCTGACTTGTCGGAGATTAAACTTGATCACCTCCTTTCCAGATTGGTCTATTTATTATAGATAAATAGAGCTGGGATTTTCTGCGGCAGCTACATAAATTGGACAAGGTGACATTTTTCGGGGTGACCGGCATGGAGCAAAATGACTCCATGATTGGAAGAATATAAAGAATTCAGAGGAAGAAATGTGGGTTAATAAAGATTTTTGGTTACCGTCAAAGGGTGGGCAGAGCCCAGGAAAAAAGGGAAAACGCAAAATTTTCTGCTCTCAAGAATCTTTTACAAACCTTTTACAAAGACGGCATTATTTGCATTTGATCCTGAGACACCCCTGCACAGCCCAGGATCTTCTTGTTTTCAGGAAACGGCTCATACAGATAGTCCTCGGCTTACAACCCTTCATTTAGTAACTATACAAAGTTATAACGGCGCTGGAAAAAAGTAACTTAGGGCCATTTTTCCCACGACCCACCATTGCAGCATCCCCACGGCCACGTGATCGAAATTTGGATTCTTGACAATACATTTAATGACCGTCGATGTTTAAGTGACACCGACTGCCTTTTTTGCACTTGAAACTAATAATAATAATAGTAATAAAGTTGGAAGGGACCTTGGAGGTCTTCTAGTCCAACCCCCTGCTCAGGCAGGAGAATCTATACCATTTCAGACAAAGGGCTGTCCAGTCTCTTCTTAAAAACTTCCAGTGTTGGAGCATTCACCGCTTCTGGAGGCAGGTGGTTCCACTGGTTAATTGTTCCCACTGTCAGGAAGTTTCTCCTTAGTTCCAGGTTGCTTCTCTCCTTGATGAGTTTCCATCCGTTGCTTCTTGGCCTGCCTTCAGGGGCTTTGGAGAATAGCTTGACTCCCTCTTCTTTGGGGCAGCCCCTGGGATACTGGAAGACTGCTATCCTGTCCCCCCTCATGATGATGATGATGATGATAATTTTCTGGTGCCGTTTAGTCAAAGCAAATGTACACAGGCTTCCATCCAGCTAGCCCTTGGGAGTCTCTTCCACATGTATGGCAGGGGTCCCCAAACTTGGCCTTTTTAAGACTTGTGGACTTCAACTCCCAGAATTCCCCAGCCAGCATCGCTGGCTGGGGAATTCTGGGAGTTGAAGTCCACAAGTCTTAAAAAGGCCAAGTTTGGGGACCCCTGTTGTATGGTAACCCAGGGTGTCCTATACATCAGGGCTCTCTAATCTTGGCACCTTTAAGACTTGTGGACTTCAGAGGTCCACAAGTCTTAAAAGTTGCCATGGTTGGAGACCCCTGATACACATCCACACCCCTCTCATTATTAGTATTATTATTTTTGGAGCATGCAATGTTATGGAGAAACAGAGCAAGAAGTGGCAATAACTTAAAAGCTACAAGATCAGGGAAAGGAAAGGAGCTGAATCTAGCTTGCAGGGAGCCCACTGGCTGTGCTGTAGCTCTCTTTATCTTACTATCTTGGTTCAGCCGCCCCTGGTTCCACCGTGTCTGTGCACAGCCTCACGGGCTGCAGCTGCGTTTTTGTTCTAGCGGTCTGGCTTCTCCCTTTTCGGATGAACTCATTTTTCAACTATGACTCTTATCTCTGTTTTGCCCTTCCTCCGGACCCATTTGTTCTTCCTTCGTGTATTGTTCAGCAGTTTGGATTTCATTCATATTGTCTATGTGATCAAAATGCCTTGGCATACTTTCCCGAGCAGTCATTCACTTTTTCCCCTCCCCCCCTTTTTATTTTTATTTATTTTTTTGATATGATCTGTTCGGTTAACAATTTGTGTCTGAGCATTCAACCTTGATGCTATCTCTTCTTGTTCTGGCTGCACTACTACTTAAGTACACACTTTTGTTGCATTTTTTAATGTTCTAACACACACACACACATACACACACACACACACACAACCCTCTCTCGTACTTCCATATAACAAATAGTCTTTTTTATTCATTTTGACAAATAATTCACTGTTTGCTACAGACCACATGCTATCTTGGAGCTTTCTGCCAGCAAAATCTCTCCCCGGTTTCTCTCTTCCCCCTTTTAAACTTAACCATTCCTTACTCTGATTCTATCTTCCACTACATCCCTCCTTTGTCAAGTTCGACACGTTCTGTAGGGTACATTTTAAACTTAATTCTTTTTTATTCTGTTCCAAGCAGCTTCCACATCTTATGACCACTTTCCATTCATTCTGTTGGACAATTAATCTATCACGAATGAAGGCAAATGCACGGATCCCAGGATAATTAATAATAATCTGTCTCTTCTTTTTTTTTTCCCTCCTGTTTTCATTTCCCGTCCTTCCACGAGCATTCAGTTTCATTTCATTCACTTCCTTAGGTTTCACGACCACATGTTAATTCTTTTTGGCTGGCTTTATGGCCCCATGTAGACTCTTGTCCACTTTCTGTTTTCTATGATTCCCTTGGACTGCCCCGATTTAAAATATTGCTTCATGTTTCCCAAAGCTCATTTTGGGTTCTTCCATCATCATCACTGCAGCCTCCTTGGTGCTCTCTGAGCTTCGTTGTTTCCTTGAAGACATTTCATTTGTTGTTCTTAGTTGCGAAGTTGTGTCTGACCCATCGCGACTTCCTGGACGACGTTCCTCCAGGCCTTCCTGTGCTCTACCATCTTCTGGAGTCCCTTGAAGCTCACGCCTCCTGCTTCAGGGACTCCATCCAGCCACCTCGTTCTCTATCGTCCCCTTCTTCTCTTGCCCTCCATCTTTCCCAGCATCAGGCCCTTCTCCAGGGAGACCTTCCTTCTCATTAGGGGGCCAAAGTGACTTTTCATTACCAGTCTAGATAATATCATCAGCGCAATGCAGTGCCCGGATGATTTTACCTAGTTTGATAATGAAATGTCTGCAAGAAAACAAGCAATCTCAGAGAACACCAAGGACTTCATAGTCCAACCCTGAGTTGTAAATACCCAGTTGGTTCCATTATCACTCCCAGGAGTCTTTAACATGCAGCTGTCACAATCTGTGAGTTCCTATTTTTATAAACACCTGCAATCTAAATAACGTTTAATTTAGAATTGAGCTTGTTGCTTTACGTTCCTAAATAACAACAACAACAACAACAACAACAACAACAACAACAATAATAATAAAGTTGGAAGGTACCTTGGAGGTTATCTAGTCCAACCCCCTGCTCAGGCAGGAAACCCTATACCATTTCGGACAAATGGCTGTCCAGTCTCTTCTTAAAAACCTCCAGGGATGGAGCATTTACTGCTTCTGGAGGCAGGTTGTTCCACTGATTAATTGTTCTCACTGTCAGGAAGTTTCTCCTTAGTTCTAGGTTGCTTCTCTCCTTGATTGGTTTCCATCCATTGCTTCTTGTCCTGCCTTCAGGCGCTTTGGAGAAGAGCTTGACTCCCTCTTCTTTGGGGCAGCCCCTGAGATATTGGAAGACTGCTATCCTGTCCCCCCTCGTCCTTCTCTTCATTAAACTGGACATACCCAGTTCCTGCAGCCATTCTTCATATGTTTTAGCCAGTCAGTATCTATTGGTTCACCTGGTGATGAAAGTAGCACATGGAAATTTGTGTCTTGAGTTGGGAGAGGAATAAATGATAAAAACACAGACTAACAAATGGAAGAAGAGTACTGTGTAATATCTATGTATATTTACCTATGTAGTATGACTGTAGTATAATTATTGTCCTTCTTATTATCTTCTTTACTAACCCCTTATTGGTCCGTTACCATTATGATTATTATTACTCTCTTGCTTTGCATGTACACTGGGAGTTTTTACACCGGAGACAATTTTGTTGTGTGTCTAATCATAGTTGGCCAAATAAAGTATGCAATGCAATGCAATTCAATAGCAGATATATTGAGCATCTGTGAAACTAGGAAAAAAAAAAGATTCAATAGAGTTGAAGGAAGGTTGTGGAGTGGATGGATATAGTATAGGGGGTACCTTGCTCAATAGTAGTAACTGTGAGAGGGATCTCGGAGTCCTAGTGGACAATCACCTAAATAGGAGCCATCCATGGGCTGCAGCTGCCAAAAAGGCCAACACAGTACTGGGCTGCATTAACAGAGGGACAGACTCAAGCTCACGTGAAGGGTTAATACCACTTTACAAGGCCTTGGTAAGGCCACACTTGGAATACGGCATGCAATTTTGGTCACCACGATGTAAAAAAGATGTTGAGACTCTAGAAAGAGTGCAAAGAAGAGCAACAAAGATGATCAGGGGACTGGACAGCCATTTGTCCGAAATGGTCTAGGGCAGTGGTTCTCAACCTGTGGGTCAGGACCCCATTTGGGGTCGAACGACCATTTCACGGGGGTCGCCAAACAAGGCTGTCCGCCATTTTTCCCCCTTTTCTTTGGCCACGCCCCTGGCACCCGGTGATGTATAAGTGGTTGGGGGTCACCACAACATGGGGAACTGTATTATGGGGTCGCGGCATTAGAAAGGTTGAGAACCACTGGTCTAGGGTTTCCTGCCTGAGCAGGGGGTTGGACTAGATGACCTCCAAGGTACCCTCCAACTCTGTTATTCTATGTTCTGTGTTCATTCTGTGGTTATTGATAGGTTTGTGGGCCCTCTCCTTCCTTCTGCGAGCAGCCTCAAAAAACCTTGGCACAATGTGGGAAATTTTGTCTTTGTAACTGAACCACGTATTTGGGATGGACCGTATCATTCATTTTGCACGTTAGGTCTCGGGAGGTTAATTCTGGACAAGGCCCTCAAGCCCAGGGGCCTTTGAGTTTCCAAGCTTCCTTGCCCCTGAACTGTACTCCTCCCAGCGCACCACCCATGGTTCAGAAACAAACATCAATTCACAAGGGGAACCCCGTGATGCGGCCGGAGGGCGGATCGAATTGCGTGGACCCGTTCCATCGGAGACCACAGCATTCCTTCTAGATGACTCAAGTGGGTAGCTCAGCTCTGGGTTCCAGTCCGTAAGCTGGAGGAAAATGGCAGCATAGACTTCTGGATGATACAGAAGAGGCCTTTGGGGAAGACTTGCAAGTTTCCTGGAAGACCCAGCGAGGGATCCTTCTCCCCCCCCCTTTTTTTTTTTTTGGCTTTTCCCTTTGATTGACAATAGGAAGAGTTGAGCCAGGGTTTCTGTCGAGAGTGGCCTTTCACACTGTCCCCATCACTGAAGCCCCGGGCAGTGTGGCAATAAAGCAGACCTACAGCTACATCATCCTTGCTCTTTGCTTCAACTTTCAAACTCTGAGGCAGGGCAGATGGAACGGGTCTGTTGCTTTTTCTTAGAATAATCCTGGAGTAAGGTTCAAGTCACGCTATAGTACTTTGCTCTTTATTTCCAAAATGAAAATTCTGTGCTGCTGATACGGCTTACTGAGAATCCAAGTATTATTATTTTTGGGGGGTCTGGTCTTCTGTTCTGCTGAAAAATAGACAGGAAGGCATGCTTTAGAATAAGCCCTGGTTAGAACTCAAGAACTTATGCTTAGCAGTTAAGGTCTAGAGCAGGGGTAGGCCACCTTGGCTCTTTTATGACTTGTGGACTTCAACTCCCAGAATTCCTGAGCCAGCCATGCTGAGGGGGAAGGGAGAGGCTTCCAAGCTGAGCCAGGCTGGCTGAGGAATTCTGGGAGTTGAAGTCCACCAGTCATGAGGGGGCCATAGTTCCCCACCCCTGGTCTAGACTCTAGGCCTAGGGTAGGGGTCTTCTAACTAGGCCTTTTTATGACTCGTGGACTTCAACTCCCAGAATTCCTGAGCCAGCCATGCTGAGGGGAAAGGGAGCCATGCTGGCTCAGGAATTCTGGGACTTGAAGTCCACGAGTCATAAAAGAGGCAAGGTTCCCCACCCCTGGTCTAGAGGGATCAACCCCTCTAGCTTAGCCTTCCCAGCGTCGTAATTGGACTGTTCTGTCTGTAGAATTTACTTAAAAATATACGGACTCTTCCTTTTAATGTGTTTTTTTTTTTTTTGAGGGAGGCTGCAAAATCGTTCTAATTTGTGATGTAGGACAGTTGTCCCCAATTTTTATGGCTTGGCAGCCTGGCGGGGGATGGGGGTGGTAGAGGGGAGCTAGCCCGTGCAAGCCTTGGGCAGGTGCGTACGTGTGCCAGCCCACCACTTTGTGAGTTGAGTTACGTGCGTGCCGGTGCCCCGCTTACATGAATAGAGTTGCATGTGCTCCGGCCGGCCACCTGGTAGTGGGCTGTATCCCAGGGCTTGAGGACCCCTGGTGTGGGGGATGGCCAGGCTGAGCCCAAGGGCGGGGTGAAAGGCATCATCGGTTCAGCATCTCTACCCGCCCGTAAGAGACCGAAGCCCAGCTCCCGCCTTGAAGCCCACCGACTCTTTACCTGGAGGCTGTTCATCCGGATCAATAGTCGTGCAGGTTCTTGTCTATAGGTAGCATGAAGTAAACTTGTGGTGCTTTTGAACTCTGACCTCTTTAGCCTGACGTCTTGCGCTTGGCCTGTAGAAGGTCCCAGAATCCCAAATAAAATCCAGAGATTTAACATTACAAAAGTCAAAGTGAATAGATGTTAATTACTTAGAATTTAAATCTGAGACGTTTCCAGGCTGATGTTTCTGGTCTTATTTCTATAATTCTGGTTAAAGCCTGGAAGAGACTTTTGGGATGGGAAGGAAATTAATGATTTGTGGATTTATACAGGGGTGAAGGACGGGTTCTGCATGCAGGTGATGAATTACTAAGTTTACACTTGTGACGAAGATCGGAAGCTAGTCTTTCAAATATTTCTTTTGTTCTCTCTCATTTTTCTTGTATTCTCTTTTTCCTTGATTCTCTCCCGAGTTCAGCTTGTGCTTTCTCTTACTATTGCTATTAAATCTCAGTAAAAACGATTTTAGAAAACAAGGAACTGCAAATATAGCTGTAAACATCTGTTTTAAAGTTCTCGGTTAGTCACACGGGCCTTTAAAGTTGGATGTAATATGAATATAGGGCAAAGAATGAAGAGGAGCAGAATTCCTTTCCATACTTTTCAAATACTTAGAATTCTGAAGGGGGAAAGGGAGGTTTTTTGGAAAATAGCAGACATCTTGAGATGTCCCTTCACGAGGGGAAAAAAAAACATTTCTACTTATCCAGTTCTTGTGATTTGCCTCATACCATTCCATTACACAGTGTCCTTATTCAGCATTGTTAGGATTTTTTTTTAATTGGCAAGGGAGTGCATTATGTTTATGAGAAGGGGGGAAAGGCCCTGTTGTGCGAGCCAACTTCCATATATCAGCCTCTAGAACAGTGTTTCTCAACCTTGACCATTTTAAGGCATGTGGACTTCAATTCCCAGAATTCCACAGCCAGCAATGCTGGCTGTGGAATTCTGGGAGTTGAAGTCCACATGCCTTAAAATGGTCAAGGTTGAGAAACACTGCTCTAGAATGCAGCCTCTTTCTGCATTTTATTCACGTGTTTGATTTGTAGATGCAGCTTGCAAACGTTCCATTTTGCACAAGTTGACTTGCTTTATTTTACTAACAGGTTTTTCAGGGGCCTAGCATGGTAGACCGAAGAAGGAAGAGGATGGCATGGATTATATTTGAGCAGAAAACAGAGAAGGAACGTGATGGATGGATCTAAATATAGGGGGTTTTGTTGAGAGGCCCCAGTCCTGCTTTGGGCCAGCTTCTCATTTCCCCATCCCATTCAGTTTCTGAAATTAATTTAAAGAAACAGCTGTTTCCATATGAGAAAAACATTGCAGCCGCACTAATTAGAAACCTCGCTCCTAAAGACAGTATTTTAGCATAGTTGTCAGATGCCTCTGCAGCCCTGATTTCCTTCTTTTTACTTGCTTTCCATTCTCTTCCTGTTCAAACGTAAATAGCCCCACCGCTTTGATTGCTCAAAATGTATTTACTAAAGCATTTACAAAAGCGCTCTTGATAGGACCGTAATTTTGTTTGGCTGTGTTTTTGAGAGTTTTGTCCTACAAACATACTTTGTAACTATTTAACTTTTAAGGCTGCCCAACTCCGTAGCTACTCTGAGCTTCTTACAGATTAAAAAAAAACGTTAAAGAAAACAAAATATATCAAGGGAAGGCAGCTAACTGGAAAAAAATGTTCCACTGTAGTCATCAAATGCTTCAGAGGAACGTATTTACTTCATCTTTTTGGACCGTGTTTGTGGTTTGGGAAAACTTGTTTTGTTGAAGGACCCAGAGATTGTTTGGATAGAAAAAATGGTTTAGTACAGGGGTAGGCAACCTCGGCTCTTTTATGACTGGTGGACTTCAAGTCCCAGAATTCCTCAGCCAGCACGGGGGAACTGTGACTCTTTTATGACTCCTGGACTTCAACTCCCAGAATTCCTGAGCCAGCATGGGGGAACTATGGCCCCCTCATGACTGGTGGACTTCAACTCCCAGAATTCCTCAGCCAGCATGGGGGAACTATGCCCCCCCTCATGACTCGTGGACTTCAACTCCCAGAATTCCTGGGCCAGCATGGGGGAACTGTGACTCTTTTATGACTCATGGACTTCAACTCCCAGAATTCCTCAGCCAGCACGGGGAAACTATGGCTCTTTTATGACTCGTGGACTTCAATTCCCAGAACTCCTAAGCCATCATGGGGGAACTATGGCTCCCTTTATAGCTGGTGGACTTCAACTCCCAGAATTCCTGAGCCAGCCTGGCTCAGCTTGGAAACCTCTCCCTTTCCCCTCAGCATGGCTGGCTCAGGAATTCTGGAAGTTGAAGTCCACCAGTCATAAAAGAGCCAAGGTTGCCTACTCCTAGTCTACACTCTAGGCCTAGGGTAGGGGTCTTCAAACTTGGCTCTTTTATGAATCATGGACTTCAACTCCCAGAATTCCTCAGCCAGCCATGCTGAGGGAAAAGGGAGAGGTTTCCAAGCTGAGCCAGGCTGGCTCAGGAATTCTGGGAGTTGAAGTTCACCAGTCATAAAAGAGCCGAGGTTGCCTGCCCCTGGTTTAGTATTTCAGAAACTGAGCTGACGGGCTTGATCAGATTGAGATGGAGGCATTTACGGCCCTTGCAGCAGCACCCCCCCCCACAGGGTCACATGATCAAAATTCAGATGCTCGGCAACTGACTTGTACTTATGACGGTCGTGACATCCCCGGGGTCATGTGATCCCTTTTTGTGACCTCCTAACAAGCAAAGTCCAGGGCTTTTTTTCTCATAGAACGCCCAGAATGGAGTTCCGGCACCTTTTTTTTTTTTTTTTAAAGAAAAAAAGCATTGGCAAAGTCAATGGGGAAACCAGATTCAGTTAACAACCGTATGTGACTCACTTAACAACTGCAGCGATTCACTTAACAACTGTGACAAGAAAAGTCATAAAATGGGGCAAAACTCACTGAACAACTGTCTGAAGTAGCAAGAGAAATTTTGGGTTCAGTTGTGGTTGTAAGTTGAGGACTTCCTGTATGGCAGGGGTGTCAAACTGCCCGCCCACAGGCCGGATGCGTCACACTGAAACCGCACCCACCCCATTGCCGGCAGTGGCAAAAAAAAGTTGTGATACATCGTGACATGTCACGTAGCGTTGCGAGTTTGACACCCCTGCTGTATGTTGTCCTCTGTATGTTTTTGAAGAATTCTTGGGGTCTTTTTGATCAGGGGTCCCCAACCCCCCAGTCCGTGAACTGGTACCGGGCCGCGGCATGCCAGCAACCGGTCCACACAAACAAGCAAAGCCCCATCCGTGGGATGTGGGCGGCACGCGAAACCAGGCCCTCTCCCATCTGCGGAAAAACCCCTCCCCACGGAAGCGGTCCCTGGTGTCCCAAAGGTTGGGGGGGTCTCTGCTGCTGATAACTCTGCTTCACTGCATGTGTTCAATTGGGTTGTGGATAATCATCTGGAGTTTTTAAGAAGAGACTGGACAGCCATTTGTCCGAAAGGGTCCAGAGTTTCCTGCCTCAACAGGGGGTTGGACTAGATGACCTCCAAGGTTCCTTCCAACTTTATTATTATTGTTGTGGATCATCGCATAGTCAGCCAGATGTTCAGACTGATTATTATTATTATTATTATTATTATTATTATTATTATTGACCATCGCACAGTCAGCCAGATGTTCAGGCTGGATTTGGCATTTTGTCTACCTATCGAGTCCTTACCCAGGACCTGGGATAGGCAGATGTGGATGTTTGATGGTATTACAGGTATCGTCGCAGGATGGAAGCAGTTCCTAGTAAGGCCGCCTTTTGCAATTGACTAATAGCGAATACTTTGGCCACCTAATGAGAAGGAAGGACTCACTGGAGAAGGGCCTAATGCTGGGAAAGATTGAGGGCAATAGAAGAAGGGGACGACAGAGAATGAGATGGCTGGATGGAGTCACTGAAGCAGTAGGTGTGAACTTAAATGGACTCCAGAAGATGGTAGAGGACAGGAAGACCTGGAGGAACGTTGTCCATGGGGTCACGATGGGTCGGACACGACTTCGCAATTAACAACAACAACAACAACAATAGCGAATTTGTCAATGCCAATGGTGTTCAAGTGGTGCTCCAGTTGTTTTGGGATTGCACCCAAGGAGCCTATGACTATTGGTACTACCCTTGCTTGCTTTTGCCACAGTCTTTCTATTTCTATTTGTAGGTCTTTGTATTTTGTTATCTTCTCCAGTTCTTTCTCTTCTATTCTGCTATCTCCAGGCACTGCCACGTCCACTATCCAGACTTTTTTGTCTTTCTTATCGACAATTGTTAAGTCTGGGGTGTTATGTTGCAGGTGCTTGTCTGTTTGAATTCTGAAGTCCCAGAGCAGTTTAATTTTATCATTTTCTATGACTTTCTCTATTTTATGATCCCACCAGTTTTTGCTTACAGGCAAATGATATTTTTTGCAGATCTTCCAATGCACCATTGTTGCTACTTTGTCATGCCGCTGCTTGTAATCAGTCTGTGCAATCTTCTTGCAACAGCTTACCAAGTGGTCCACTGTTTCTTCAGCTTCTTTGCATAGGCGGCACTTACTGTCTGTTGCTGTCTTCTCAATTTTGACTTTGTATGCATTTGTCCTTAAGGCTTGGTCTTGTGCAGCCAGAATTAGTCCCTCGGTCTCTTTCTTCAATTTTCCTGCTCTTAGCCATTGCCAGGTTTTATTATTATCTGCTTTCCCAGCTATTTTTTTAATGTATTGGCCATGTAGTGCTTTGTCTTCCCATGCCTCTTTTTTATTATTATTATTATTATTATTATTATTATTATTTATTATTATTATTATTATTATCGATCATCGCACAGTCAGCCAGATGTTCAGACTGGATTTGGCATTTTGTCTACCTATCGAGTCCTTACCCAGGACCTGGGATAGGCAGATGTGGATGTTTGATGGTATTATTATTATTATTATTATTATTATTATTATTATTATTTTATTTTATTATCCTCATCATCGCACAGTCAGCCAGATGTTCAGACTGGATTTGGCATTTTGTCTACCTATCGAGTCCTTACCCAGGACCTGGGATAGGCAGATGTGGATGTTTGATGGTATTACAGATATCGTCGCAGGATGGAAGCAGTTCCTAGTAAGGCCGCCTTTTGCAATTGACTAATAGCGAATTTGTCAATGCCAATGGTGTTCAAGTGGTGCTCCAGTTGTTTTGGGATTGCACCCAAGGAGCCTATGACTATTGGTACTACCCTTGCTTGCTTTTGCCACAGTCTTTCTATTTCTATTTGTAGGTCTTTGTATTTTGTTATCTTCTCCAGTTCTTTCTCTTCTATTCTGCTATCTCCAGGCACTGCCACGTCCACTATCCAGACTTTTTTGTCTTTCTTATCGACAATTGTTAAGTCTGGGGTGTTATGTTGCAGGTGCTTGTCTGTTTGAATTCTGAAGTCCCAGAGCAGTTTAATTTTATCATTTTCTATGACTTTCTCTATTTTATGATCCCACCAGTTTTTGCTTACAGGCAAATGATATTTTTTGCAGATCTTCCAATGCACCATTGTTGCTACTTTGTCATGCGCTGCTTGTAATCAGTCTGTGCAATCTTCTTGCAACAGCTTACCAAGTGGTCCACTGTTTCTTCAGCTTCTTTGCATAGGCGGCACTTACTGTCTGTTGCTGTCTTCTCAATTTTGACTTTGTATGCATTTGTCCTTAAGGCTTGGTCTTGTGCAGCCAGAATTAGTCCCTCGGTCTCTTTCTTCAATTTTCCTGCTCTTAGCCATTGCCAGGTTTTATTATTATCTGCTTTCCCAGCTATTTTTTTCATGTATTGGCCATGTAGTGCTTTGTCTTCCCATGCCTCTATTCTGTTCTTCATTTGGTCTTTCTTGTAGGCCAGTTTGGTCTCTCCAGTAGTTAGTAAGCCTTCCTGATATACTAATTTCAGTGCATCTTCATCATTGTTCTTCAGATATTCTTCCAAAGCCATTTTTTCTTCTTCAACCATCTGATGTACTTGTAGCATTCCACGCCCACCTATTTGCCTTGGTAGATAAAGTCTATCAATGTCACTGCGTGGATGAAGGGCGTGATTCATTGTCATTATTTTTCTGGTCTGCCTATCCATTGCTTTTAGTTCTGCTTGAGTCCAGTCCACTATTCCAGCTGTGTACCTAATGACTGGGATTGCCCAGGTGTTGATTGCCTTTATGGTATTTCCTCCATTGAGTTTGGATTTTAAGATCTTCTTCACTCTCTTGATGTATTCACCTCTAATCTTTTTCTTGACTTCAGTGTGCTTGATGTTGTCAGCTTGAAGGATACCCAAGTATTTGTAGTATCTTCCTCGTCCAGACTCTTAATGTTATTTTCGTGGGGCATCTTGATTCCTTCAGTTTTCACTATTTTTCCTTGTTTGATAGTAAGTGTGGCACATTTGTCCAAGCCAAACTCCATTACAATATCTTGGCTATATATACGGACAGTGTTGAGCAGCGATTCTATTTCAGATGATGTTTTTCCATACAGCTTCAGATCATCCATGTAAAGGAGGTGGGATAGTCTAGCACACAGGTCGGCAACCTGCGGCTCCGGAGCCGCATGCGGCTCTTTGAGCCTTCCCATGCGGCTCCCAGCCTCCTCTGCCTTTGCAGAGAGAGAGACAGAGACAGAGAGAGGAATTGCGCTTCCCTGCTTCTCTCTCTCTCTCTCTTGTGTGTGTGTTTTGTGTGTGTGTGTGTGTGTGTATAAAAAAAAGAGAGTGCACTCACAGTGTTCTCCGAGGAGCTGAAAAGCTTACTGGGCTGAGCTCTTCCCTTTGCTGCATCTCTGCAGGAAGCAGGAAGCAGGAAGGGCAGGAGAGAGCTAGCTAGCCCAGCTAGGCTGACTCAGGAATTCTGGGAGTTGAAGTCCATGAGTCATAAAAGAGACGAGGTTGCTTACCCCTGATCTTGTTGGACAACAGCCTGAAGCTTGTCAGGTGAGCAGCAGATAGGAGAGGGGGGGAGAAAGAGAGAGAGAGAGAAAGAGAAAGAGGGAGAGAGAGGAAAGAGAGAGAGAGAAAGAAAGAGAGCGGGGGAAGAGGAGTGGCAGATCAAGGGCAGATAGAGAGGGAGGGAGAGAGAGACCCTTTTGACATCTAAAATGAAGATAACACTGCATATATCCTTTTTTATCTCTCTGTGTGTGTGTGTGTGTATGTATATATATACATACATACATATACATATATATACACACATACACACACACACACACACACACACAAACACACACACAAACACCTATAATAAAGGTAAAAAAGGATATATGCAGTGTTATCTTCATTTTAGATATCAAAATGGTTTTGCGGCTCCCAGTGTTTTGTTTTTGGTGGGAAACGGGTCCAAGTGGCTCTTTAAGTGTTTTGGGTTGCCTACCCCTGGTCTAGCAGATGTTTTTGATGTTTGATAACCATGTCCTGAGTTATTCAGTATTGTTGATAGAGGAAACAGTGCAATAACAAATAGTAATGGTGATAATGAATCTCCTTGAAATATTCCTCTCTTGATATTAACCTCTCCCAGCTTTTCACCATTGATCTGCAACTGTGTCTTCCATTGTGCCATCGATTTTTGCACAAATTTTCTGATGTTTCTACTTACTCCTGTTATTTCTAGGCACTTGATTATTATTATTATTATTATTATTATTATTATTATTATTATTATTATTATTATTATTATTATTATTATTATATCCTGCCCTGGAGGTTGAACTCTGTGGCCAAAGTGATGTCTTCGCTGCCTGCTTGCACAATCTGATCTAGCCTCTTGCTTAGGTCCTCCTTGCTTGATGTCCAGCAATGGTTTCTATCTTCTGTGGCAACAGATGAAGGAACTCCATCGTTTTTCTCCCTAGTGATAATTTTAAGTTGTTTTTACTGGACCCTGTCCTTGCATAGCAGCAGATTTCCATCTGTTGTCCCCTGTTTTGTAGCCAACTACAGCATTTATATAATTGCATTTAGTAAAGCAAAGTGGTTTTTATTTTATTTTATTTTAAAAAAAATCAGTGTAGTTCAATTGCGACCGTTGGATCGAAATGGTATATTCCTGTTTTTTTCTTTATATTCTTGTTTGATGTGAAGTTTTGTTTGCATAGCTGGGCTCGTGCTATTAGTTTTTATTCTTAATCCCCCTTGCCAGTATCCATTACATTAAGTTTTGCCTTCTGAAAGTCACATGCCCTGATGGAATATTTTCAGCCGTGCTTTGATTTGCCAGAACTTTTGCATGACTGAAAATTAAAGAGCTGCGTTTATGGTATGTGTGATTTTTGGAAAGTTCTCCTGTTATGAGGACATCTTAAACCATTAATGGATTTGAAATTCAGTGAAAATTGAATAGATTTTGGAGGAAAACTTTGCCAACTAAGGCAGATGGAAGCTTTCAAAACTCAACTTGCAACTTACCCTTGGCATGTAAAGATTGCAGTGATGTTTTTTTCCTATTACTTCATTCTAATTAAGTGAACAATGAAACAAAAGATTAGTTTCAAAGTTGTAATTTACATTTCTTCTTTCTTCTTCTGTAATGCTGCTATACTATACTGCAAACTTCCTCTGTCACACGTTGCTACATCTTCAGACAGCAACCCAGTTCTATCCCTGTTCACAAATGAGAATTCAGTATGCAAGTATATGAAGAACGGTTGTAGGAATTGGGTAGGAAAATAAGGACTAGTGGTGACACAATAGCAGTCTTCCAATATTTGAGGGGCTACACCAAAGAAGAGGGAGTCAAGCTATTCTCCAGGACAAGAAGCAACGGATGGAAACAAATCAAGGAGAGAAGCAACCGGGAACTAAGGAGAAACTTCCTGACAGTGAAAACAATTAACAAAGAACAGTGGAACCACCTGCCTCCGGAAGCTGTGAATGCTCCAACACTGGAATTTTTAAAGAAGAGACTGGACAGCCCTTTGTCTGAAATGGTGTAGGGTTTCCGTCCTGAGCAGGGGGTTGGACTAGATGACCTCTAAGGTCCCTTCCATCTTCGTTATTCTGTTATTCCAGTTTTCACATTGAACATCAGGTTGCTTATGTTACTAAGGCTTTGCAGGGCTTAAAATTGGCCTATAAAACCTAGAAATAATAAATAGATGTCCTAGAGCCATTCAGAAAAAAGCACTTTTACTATTCTATATGTCAGTAAATCCAAGAAGTTCTGTCTTGTAAAATAATTCAGCCAAAGAACCTGCTTGCTTATGAAAATGTGTTTCTTGTGCAAATAGCTCTCAAATTACGACCACAACTGAGCCCAAAACTTCTGTTGCTAAGAAAGACAGTTGTTAAGTGAGTCCTTTGACATTTCTTGCCACAGTTGTTAAGTAAATCACTGCAGTTAGTAATATGGTTGTTAAGTGAATCTGGCTTCCCCATTGAGATTGCTTGTCAAAAGGTCACAAAAAAAAGGAGATCGCGTGATACTCCCCCCCCCCCCCGGGACGCTGCAATAGGAGCGATGGCCAGGCATCTGGATTTTGATCAGGGACACTGTAGTGGTTGCGAGTGTGAAACGTGGTCACAAATTACTTTTTTTCAGTGCTGTTGTAACTTTGAATGGTCACTAAACAAACTGTTGTAAATCAAGGACTACGTGTATTGGCTTCCTATGACTTAATGGTCAAGGTCAGTCGTGCTAAGGCGAGTAACAACAGACACAATATGAAATTGGGATAAAACAAAGTAACGCCAAATAATAACAACAATAACAGTGATAATAATAATAAAGTTGGAAGGGACCCTGGAGGTCATCTAGTCCAACCCCCTGCTCAGGCAGGAAACCCTATACCAGGGGTAGGCAACCTTGGCTCTTTTATGACTGGTGGACCTCAACTCCCAGAATTCCTGAGCCAGCCGTGCTGAGGCGAAAGGGAGAGGTTTCCAAGCTGAGCCAGGCTGGCTCAGGAATTCTGGGAGTTGAAGTCCAGAAGTCATAAAGGGGCCATAGTTCCCCCATGCTGGCTCAGGAATTCTGGGAGTTGAAGTCCACGAGTCATAAAAGAGCCAAGTTTGAAGACCCCTGGCCTATATCATTTCAGACAAATGGCCGTCCAGTCTCTTCTTAAAAACTTCCAGTGTTGGAGCACCCACCGCTTCTGGAGGCAGGCGGTTCCACTGATTTAAAACGTTTATAGAAAAAGGTTTTGAAAGAAAGTGGGCACAGGGCGGTGGCAGAAGGAATTAGTCTCGTGCCACCATTGTGCACTGGCATCACCGCAACCAGGCAGCTGAACTGATCTGCTTCTAAGGGGGTGCGTGTGTCTGCATGCGAGGTCCATCCAATTTATTTAACCGGGAAAGGTATTTGGCTGAGATTTTTTTTTTTTTTTTTTAAAGTTCTTCCTCTTGAGGTCATTACCGTCTTAGCAGTGCAAGGGCTTTTTTTAAAAAAACAACAACGGCTGAAATGTCAGCCTAATTAGCAAGCTGCCTATCTCCTCCAGCCTTTAATGGTGTTTACATTACCGAAGCCTGAAATTATGTGTTAAAAGTGATAGGACAGGCCACTCCTTTCGTGCAGATTGCGGTTCCAGGAGCAAAAGGGATTGGGTTTGCAGAAGAGAGGGGGGGGGGAAGCAGCTAGGAACGGAGTTGGCCGCTTAGCAAATATGTCCAGTCAGTCAGGAAAGAAGCGTGCCAAAGCCGGGAAGCTGGAGCCTGGGTCTAGCCTGGCTGGTGCCACTGATGTGCAGGGGTCGGTCACAAGACCTCCCTCTCCTAACTCACCCTGTCAGCTCCCGGCTCTCCAGCCTGGGGAAGCGGCCTGCCAGAGGATGCACGATCCAGACAACTTGGCAGGCACGCCGGCTTATGCCCCTCCTCCCGCCCCACGTTAACTGAAACTGACAATAGTTATGTGCACGGAAGGAATAAATGTGAGGAGTGAAACCACAGGCTGCATCCTCTCCTGCAAACTATGTAGAAAAGATGGCGGAGAAGCAAACCCTTGGCTCTTAGGAAGAAGCCTTGAGAGAGTGCTCCTTTAGGGGAATGGAAATGACCTTCCCGCAGTCCAAAAAGGGCTTGGAATAGAGCTGGAAGGGACCTTGGAGGTCTTCTAGTCCAGCCCCCTGCTCGAACAGGGAAACCTATGATATTTCAGACAAGTGACCGTGACGATTTCTGGTGGCAAGCTGTTCCACTGGTTAATTGTCCTCACTGTTAGGAAGTTCCTCCTTAATTCTAGGTTGCTTCTCTTTTTGGTCAGCTTCCAATTATTGTTTCCTTGTTTGTCCTCTGGTGCTTTGGAGAATAGTTTGACCCCCTCCTCTTCTTTGTGGCAGCCCCTCAAATACTGGGACTCTGCTATCAATATCAGTAAGGGCAGGCTTATTGCAATGAAAGTCTGTGTGTGTGTGTGTGTGTGTGTGTGTGTGTGTGTGTGTGTATGTGTGTGTGCTCGCGCGCAATCTATAGGTCCGGTAGGCCACCTTGGCTCTTTTATGACTGGTGGACTTCAACTCCCAGAAATCCTGAGCCAGCCTGGCTCAGCTTGGAAAGCTCTCCCTTTCCCCTCAGCATAGCTGACTCAGGAATTCTGGGAGTTGAAGTCCACGAGTCATAAAAGAGCCGAGGTTGCCTACCTCTGCACTAAACCAGTGGTCGTAAGTGGTGGGCTACCAGTGCTTCTGTGCCGATGCAACTTCAAGCGGTCCCTAAACGAATGGTTGCAAGTTGAGGATTTCCTGTAAAAAGGTGAGATTGCTGCCAGTTTAAAATTAGGCTGTGTATCGTCTGATGTAAGTGAGCAGAGCTGAAGGACGTGTCTCTCCTCCGGCTGCAGTTTAGGTGGAAGGGGGCAATCAGCCGCAGCCACCCCAGGGCCCCTGCCACGATGGACCCACCCTGGGCCTTAATCCTCGGCGGGCCCTGTGCTGGCCAATGTGCAACGTGGCAGAAATAGACTTTAGAATAACAGAGTTAGAAGGGACCTTGGAAGTCATCTAGTCCAACCCCCTTCTCAGGCAGGAGAACCTGTACCACTTCAGACAAATGGCTGTCCAGTCTCTTCTTAAAAATTTCCAGAGCCTTCACCGCTTCTGGAGGCAGGAAGTTCCACTGGTTAATTGTTCTCACTGTCAGGAAGTTTCTCCTTAATTCTAGGTTGCTTCTCTCCTTGATTAGTTTCCACCCGTTGCTTCTTGTCCTGCCTTCAGGTGCTTTGGAAAATAGCTTATTTCCCTCTTCTTTATGGCAGCCCCTGAGATATTGGAATACTGCTATCATGTCCCCCCTTGTCCTTCTCTTCGTTAAACTAGACATACCCAATTCTCGCAACCGTTCCTTATATGTTTTAGCCTCCAATCCCCTAATCATCTTTGTTGCTCTTCTCTGTACTCTTTCTAGAGTCTCAACATCTTTTTTACATCGTGGTGACCAAAACTGGATGCAGGATTCCAACCCACGTGCCAAAGTGTGGGCCTCTGTCCTCCCATTGGATGTACCCCTGCAGCCAGTGTGTGTCTCTGTGTGTCTCTGTGTGTCTCTCTGTGTGTGTGTGTCTGTCTGTGTGTGTGTGAAGGGGTGAAGTGCGCAGGGCCATATGACTGTGGCTAATTGCTGTAGACCCAGGGGCTGGTGTGATGCTATAAGAGAGATAAGAATAGATCTGGGAAATTCTTTTTTCTGTAGGAAAAATTAATCTACCCTTCTTGGGAACATTACATTCCTCGGATTTGTTGAGAGACTCCAACTCAGCTGAAGTGACTAAGAGAAAGAGCAGAATTCTTTTTTTATCTCCCTGGGGGAAGTCACGGTGTTTATCTTGGGCTTGAGCGCAGAAATGCAATTATTAAGAGGCCTCTCAGTTGAGAACACCTACCCAACCTTGACAAATATAAATCCCCGGGACCTGGCAGATTACATCCCAGAGTTCTGAAGGAGCTGGCAGATGTTATCTCAGAACCATTGTATCATAGTTTTCATAAATCCTGGAGCACCGGGGAAGAAGTACCTGAGGATTGGGAAAGCAAAGCTGGCTGGGGGATTCTGGGAATTGAAGTCCAACCATCTTCAAGTGAGCAAGGTTGAAAAACACTGGCCTAGTTGAATCTGCTCCTGGTGTCTCCTCCTGGACTTAGTAGCTTAGGCAGACATTGATTATCTGATGAAAGAGCCCTTAGACATGGCTGATTCTCTGGCAGAATTTCTTCCTCAGGCTTGGCTGGCTCCTAATTCCAGTTCCTTAAGTAAACACTTGTCAGAGTCCCATGCAACTGGATAATTTGCAATACCCATTTTCTTTCTTTCCACATGGGTATATCTACTGCATCCCATTAAGTCCTAAGGCTCCTTCTGCTGAAGGAAAACACACAGTTTTCCAGGCATAAGGTAAGAGCAGGCAAGAGAGAGGAAACCGTATAGATTAATACTGCATTAAGATTTAATAATAATAGTAGTAGTAAAGTTGGAAGGGACCTTGGAGGTCATCTAGTCCAACCCCCTGCTCAGGCAGGAAACCCTACACCATTTCGGACAAATGGCTGTCCAGTTTTGGAGCATTCACCGCTTCTGGTGGCAGGTTGTTCCACTGGTTAATTGTTCTCACTGTCAGGAAGTTTCTCCTTAGTTCCAGGTTGCTTCTCTCCTTGATTAGTTTCCATCTGTTACTTCTTGTCCTGCCTTCAGGTGCTTTGGAAAATAGCTTAATTCCCTTTTTTTTATGGCAGCCCTTGAGATATTGGAATACTGCTATCATGTCCCCCCTTGTCCTTCTCTCTGTTAAACTAGACATACCCAATTCTAGCAACCGTTCCTTATATGTTTTAGCCTCCAGTACTGAATAATACTGAGTAACAGTATTATTAATACTTATTAATACTGAATAACAGAGTAGGGAAGGATTATTAAGAGATTATTATCGACTGTATTAAGCGCCCAAGGTAAAAGGAACAGAAAAGTCCAAAGAACAAACACTAATTTTACCTGCATGGTGGATGCTATTTTGGACAATTTGTTATGTAAGACCACACCTCGAATACTGCAGCCAGTTTTGGTCACCATATCACAAAAAAGATGTTGAGAGTCTGGAAAAAATTCAGAGAAGAGCAATTAAGATGATCCAAGGTCTGGAGACCAACACATACAAAGAACGGATGCAGGACTTGGGTTTGGCCAGTCTAAAGAAAAGAAGAAGTAGGGGAGACGTCAAGATCAGAAATGAGGAGAGGATCAGCTGCCCGGGGAAGCCAAGGGAAATCATCAAAACAATTAAAAAATGAACATTAGAATATTTCGGACATGTGATGTGACACCCAGAAAAATACGGCATACTCCATTTAATCCTCCAGGGAAAGATGGAACGCCAACGAGGTCCAGGCAGAAGAAGAATATCGTGGCTTCAAAATCTAAGGGACTGGTTGGGACAAAACTCAGCAGCACTTTTTCGTGTGACTGCCGATACAAACAGGATCGCCAATATGATCGCCAACGTCCGATAATGGATATGGCACAAGAAGAAGAAATAGGGGAGACATGATAGCAGTGTTCCAGTATTTGAGGGGCTGCCATAAAGAAGAGGAGGGGGTCACATTATTCTCCAGAGTATCAAAGGGAAGGACAAGAAATAACGGTTGGAAACTGACCAAAGAGAGAAGCAACCTGGAATTAAGGAGAAACTTCCTGACAGTGAGGACAATCAACCAGTGGAACAGCTGGCCACCAGACATCGTGGGCGCTCCATCGCTGGAAGTTTTTAAAAAGAGACCAGACAATCACCTGTCTTGAGATGGTATAGGTTGTATTGCTTGAGCAGGGGGCTGGACTAGAGGACCTCCAAGGTCCCTTCCAGCTCTATTCTATTCTTCTTCTACTCCCAAAAATAACACCTCAGTGGTGTATTTAGCATTCCTTACAATTCTCAGCTCACTGAGATTTCTTGACAATATCCGTACAGGTAATCCTCAACTTACATTTGGAACCAAACTCTCTGTTGCTAAGCAAGGCAGTTGCAAAGTGAATTCTGTCTGATTTTGTGACCTTTTTGCCACAGTTGTTAAGTAAATCATTACGATTGTTAAATGAATCCAGCTTCCCCCATTGACCCTGCTTGTCAGAAGCTGGCTGGGAAGATCGCAAATGGCAATCACAGGAGCCCAGAATGCTGCAGCCATCATAAATACATCCTGGTTGCCAAACACCCATATTTTGATCTCATGGTTGTGGGGATGCTGGTGTGGTTTTAAGTTCGAGGGCCTTAAAACTTTTTTCGGTGCTTCAATCACTAAACAATTGACTGTACTTCTGGAATATTTTATTGCATTTTCTCTTTTAGCTTTTTGGAGAATTATTTGCACAGTTTCTTTCCACCCCTGTATATTTTCTATTTACTGCCGGGCTTTGCAGTTCTGCTTTTAGTGTTTCGGGTAGCCTTTGTGAAACTCAGAGACATCCTGATAAATAATGATGGTTCTGGAGGTGTTGCTTTTCTTTGCAGCATGCCAGACTACTTTTTAAAAGTAAAAAAATGGACACGAACACACTTTACTCAGATACGCTTCAGAAATTATGCAAGCGCAGCAGCTCTCTAATGTTTAGTAAAACGGTCCAACTTTTTCCAGCCACCACATGAACTTGGAAAAAAGGTGCCATTGTCATAAAAGTTCGATTTGTTTTAATGAATGGATTCCACCTGAAAAATGAGAGGGGTAGCTGGTGGGTACAGGGGCCCTGTGCAGCAGCAATGTTGCTTAATCTTGCTTTAACTGGCATGTCAGCACAAAGCATAGTTTTCACCAAATTTGATTTCTAATGTTTGACACAACTTCCTGACAGTTAGGACAATCAATCAGTGGAACGACTTGCTTCCAGAAATTGTGGGGACTCCGAACGTGGAAGGTTTTTAAGAAGAGACTGGACAATCATTTGTCTGAAATGGTATAGGGCAGGGGTAGGCAGCCTTGGCTCTTTTAGGACTGGTGGACTTCAACTCCCAGAATTCCTGAGCCAGCCGTGCTGAGGGAAAAGGGAGAGGTTTCCAAACTGAGCCATGCTGGCTCAGGAATTCTGGGAGTTGAAATCCACCAGTGATAAAAGGGCCAAGGTTGCCTAGCCCTGGTCTAGGGTACCCTGCTTGATGACCTCCAAGATCCCTTCCAAACTTTTAGCCTGTTACACGATTCTTTTAAGAATAAGCCAGGTTTCAAATTCATAGGTCACGTTCTTCAAAAATGGGGACAGTCTCAGGATCATTTAAGGCAAGGGTTCCCAATGTGTGGTCTGCAGCCCAGTACCGGGCCGTGGCCTGTTAGCCACCAGGCCGTGGGAATAGGTGACGAGACCTCCCCACTCATGGTAGCGCTGCTGCACAGGGGTGAGTAGCCCTGTTTGCACATGCGCAGGGGTGCCAGCGCACCACTGTGGGTGCGCACAGCCTGCTTGTGCATGTGCGAATGTACTAGCAGCGCCACGCACGCGGCCGTTTGTGCACGCACATTTCCCTGCCCCTCCCTTTTCTTCCGGGCTGCCAAGCTGGAAAGATTGGGGAGCTCTGATTTAAGGTCACAAGAGGTTCCTGGTTAATATAGGATCAGCAACGTCACATGTAGTTTTACAGCAGCAAAAGAAGTTTGCAGAGATGGCTGCAAAGTACCATTTTCTCAAACATAAAAAAAAACACAAAATTGCTCTTTTCTTTTCCGCCAGAGAATCGCTGGACTTAGCCAAGGCCACCTCCGTCTCTGCTTTGACACAGTCAAAGTAAAACGCTGTTGCTATTTAAAGCTTGTGTAAATACATTTAAATCTTGTCCTCTTTGCTTGAAAAAGGCTCCTGTGCTAATATCTCAAAGCAGAGCCAATCTACCCGCATTCGAGTATTATTTAAAACTTAATTTTCCTTGTCTTAATTTTGCCAGACTTCGTGTCGCCTAGAAACAATCCTTTCACAATTAGTTTTCTGTTGTCCCTTTTCTGCATTGCCAACTGGTCAATTATTTTCGTCAAATGCCCTGCTTTGAGCTTGCAGGCTTAACACTGTACAATGCAGCCACTGTAAAAACCCTGTAAAAGCTGTGGCAAAATTCGGGACCCTCTTTTGCAAAACCGGGCAGCATCGCTGTTGCCCTTTGCAGCCTCATTAGCTAAATTCTTCAGGTTCTGCAATAGAGGAACAACAATTTTGTACGTCTGAGTATTTGCGAGGAAGAAGTCGCCTCCCGTCCCTACCTTGTGGTGACGACGCCTGGATGAGGAGAGTTAAAAATGGCCTTCCTTCTGGGCAGCTATTTGTTTCCGTGGCCAGAGAGTCCACGTGCCTCAAGCAGTTGGATGAATCGGCTTAAACGATGGCACAGCCGGTGCTCCCAAATGCCTTTTCAACCTCTCTAATCTTGGCCAAAATGCTTGCCACCAGAAGGAGCGTAGCCCAGAGGGCACCTTCAAGAATTAACACAGCCAGGAAACGTGGCGCCTGTTAATTCTTCTTTTTTTCTCCCCTGACAGCTTCGTTTCTCACTCCTTTCTTCCTCCTCCTTAATTTAGCAGCATTAGCAGCTTGTTCACTTCTTTATGTATTTAAATGGATATCTACAGATGCAGACAGTCCTTCACTTATGACCACAAAAGTGCCCAAAACTATCCGTTGCTAAGTGAGACAGTTGATTGTTCCTCTGTTTCTTCTCTGCTCAGGTGGAAAAAAGCTTGTTTTCAACTTGATGCTGCAGGACAGCATCAGCTGCAGCTAGTTCTCGACTTATGACCACAGTTGAGCTCGTTGTTCAGTGAGTTTTGCCCCATTTTACGACCTTTCTTGCCGCGGTGGTTAAGTGAATCACTGTAATTGTTGAGTTAGTAACACGGTTGTTAAGTGAATCCAATTTCCCCCATTGACTTTGCTTGTCGCAAGGTTGCAAAAGTGGATCATGTGACCCCTCTGGAACACTGCAACCGTCATAAATGGGAGCCAGTTGACAAGTGTCCGAATTTTGATCATGTGACCCTGGGGATGACCATGGGGACTGCAGTCGCCAGTGTGAAAAACGGTCATACGTTGCATTTTCCACTGCCGTTGTAACTTCAAATGGAAGTTATAAGTGGAGAACTACCTGCGGTCCTCAACTTATAACTGTAACTGAGGCTGGAATTGCAGTTGTTAGGCATACTGTTAAGTGGATCACCCCCTTGACCATGTCCCATTTTATGATCTTCTTTGCGGCGATCATTAAGTGAATTCATTGTCCGCACTGGGCACTTTTTTTGCCAAAACCTGAAAGTAAGCACAGGTTTCTGCCAAGAAAAATGTAAATCATTGTTCATATGACTGTGGGACACTACAAATGGTGATAAATGTAGGCCGGTGGCTGAGGGCCCAAAATGCGATCCTGAGACCGGAGGTGGGGGGGGGGGAGCGGTGGCCATCAGAACGAATCCTGGGGGGGGGCTTTGTTGTAACTTTGAACAGTCACTAAGCAGTCAGTCATACGTTAAGGACAGGGGACTTCAAACTTGGCCCTTTTATGACTTGTGGACTTCAATTCCATGCTGGCTGAGGAATTCTGGGAGTTGAAGTCCACAAGTCATAAAAGGGCCAAGTTTGAAGTCCCCTGGGTTGGTTTCATCTAGGCCAGAGGGTCTTCAAAGTTGACCCTTTTATGACTAGTGGACTTCAACTCCCAGAATTCCCCAGTCAGGCACGCTGGCTGAGGAATTCTGGGAGTTGAAGTCCACAAGTCATAAAAGGGCCGAGTTTGAAGACCCCTGGTCAAGGACTACTTGTGTATGTGTTTTTGTACAGCACCACTAATGGGCCTGGTGCTGGGTTCAGATTGCAGGCAGATCTTTCCCTCAAGGAATTTGACCTGTGTACAATTTAACACCTGAGAAATGAGGGACAAAGAAGGAAGAGAAAGCTGAAGGACAAAATGGCTCCACCGGAAGGCCTCTTCAAATCTAGAAGGCCCACAACAATGACAGAAGCGTTTTAAAATCCTTAGTGACCTTGTCTTTAAAAACCAGGCCAAGCATCTGCCCCCCCCTCAAAAACTCCCCCCCCCAAATCTGCCTCCAGTTCCCTTTTCACAGGAGACAAATGAGTCTGCCAAGTGGAAGGGAGGGAATTTTAGCACATTTTTAATCTCTTCCAGCATCCCGGTTCCCACAGTGGCCAGCCAGATGCTTCCATTTTTGAACGCCGTGGTTTGGCAATTGGGTCAGCTTTTGACACACAACCACGAGCCAGCTTTGTGCGCCGTGCAATTAAGTCCTTCACGGTTATACATTTTCCAAGGAAGGCGCGTCGTTTATTGTGTCTAATTCTAGCCGTCTCTAAAATGCGTTCTCGGCCGTGAACATTTGACATATATTATAAAAATCTGATCTCTGGGTTGGAAATGATTATCGATAACTTCCGGAAATAAAAGTGGTCAGAATTGACCTTTGCGTTGAGAGGAGGAACATAAAATAACAATGTGTTTTCAAAATGAAAAGAAAAGTGGTGGGACTTGTAATGGTTTATTTATCCTAGGTTGGTCTGATGTATTTGCTGAAAATTCAGTTTCAAAATTCTTTTTTATTCAGGAAAATAGGTTATATTGGGTTTTTTTAAAAAAGCCATGCAGTTTCTAGCTCGTATTTTGCAGAATCTGTCAGATTCTGATAGGAACTTCTAGACTGGACTGAACTGAGACACTAGAGCAGGGGTAGGCAACCTTGGGTCTTTTAGGACTGGTGGACTTCAACTCCCAGAATTCCTGAGCCAGCATGGCTGACCTTGGAGACCTCTCCCTTTCCCCTCAGCGTGGCTGCCTCAGGAATTCTGGGAGTTGAAGTCCACGAGTCATATAAAAGAGCCAAGATTGCCTACCCCTGCCCAAATGCCTTAATTTTGACCGTGAGGAAAAAATATTTAAATATTTAAAGCAGGGGTCTTCAAACATGGCCCTTTTATGACTGGTGGACTTCAACTCCCAGAATCTCTGAACCAGCATGAGGGAACTGTAGGCCCTTCATGACTCGTGGACTTCAACTCCCAGAATTCCTGAGCCAGCATGGCTCATCTTGGAAACCTCTCCCTTTACCATCAGCATGGCTGGCTCAGGAATTCTGGGAGTTGAAGTCCACAGATCATAAAAGAGCCAAGGTTGCCTACCCCTGCACTAGACAAAGAATAACAACTTTTTAGCTCTCTTTAGGTAGGATTTACGTTTTGAAATGAAATTAAGAGATTACTGGCAACTTTCCTGCTGGCTGGGAAATTCTGGGAGTTGGAAGTCCACACCTCTTAAAGTTTCCAACTTTGAAAAAAAAAACACTGATCTAAATGGACATGTATTTTGAGTAGAAATCCATTTGAAAAATCCACTGTCGTGCTTGCAAATTCAGCGCTCGCTTCTCTGTCGTCTGTATAGTTAACAAACTGCTCGAGGCTACTATGCCTGTGGCGTGCCATTCTAGAATGACATATTTATTCTGGGATGTTGGATTCAGTTTTTCATCTCTCCAGCAAGAGCTCCTTTTTTACCCATTTCCATGGCAATTTCCTCCTCCACCTGGTTTACGTGAAAAGTTATCATAACCACATTTCACTTGGTATGCACTTTTCCTGACGTGTACTTTTCGCAAATTTCTTGGAATACAACTTTAGAGAGTGATACAAACTGCTGGTCCTAAAACATATGAAGAACGATTGCTGGAATTGGGAATGTCTGGTTTAATGAAGAGAAGGACGAGGGGTGACATGCTAGCAGCCTTCCAGTATCTCAGGGGCTGCCCCAAAGAAGAGGGAGCCAAGCTGTTCTCCAAAGTGCCTGAAGGCAGGACAAGAAGCAACGGATGGAAACTCATCAAGGAAAGAAGCAACCTGGAACTAAGGAGAAAATCCATAACACTGAGAATAGTCAACCAATGGAGCAGCTTTACTTTCAGAAGTTGTGGGTGCTCCATCACTGGAAGGTTTTAAGAAGAGACTTGACAGCCAGTTGTCAGAAATAGCATAGATCTCCCGCATGAGCAGGGGGGGTTGGACTCAATGACCTTCAAGATCCCTTCCAATTCTGTTACTGTCACTGCTTTTCATAAAACATGGCTTGCTTTTCTGCACATAAGGAAAAAACATGTAATTGATAGGCTGACCAATATGTTTAATATACCATGAAGTTACTAAAAAGAAACCCCTGTGGAACAACAGTGTGCGTTGGCTTCTGATAGGATATGTATGATGCCCTGGCTTTACAATCTGCACTGTAATCATGGCATGATCCAGGGAGTTGTCTTAGGTTCATCTCTGGCCTTATAACTGATAGACCTCTTTCTTCATTTCCAAATTTGCCCTTTGGAATTGAGAATCTTAATTTAAGGAGGCAGTGGTAAGCTTGTAGCTGTGCCATGTAATGAAGAGTCTCACAACGCCACGGATTCAAGCAATATTCAGTATTTAATTTGGGGGCTGGTGTCTTCTGTTTGGTCAGTTTGGGAACTGAGTCTATCCCCCCCTTAAAAAAATAAAAGCTTAAAAGTTACAGGTACGGTATTCTCAGAGAATACAATGACTTACTTTTTGCTTGTGGATATAGGTTGCATGCCTAGTTAATATGCAATTATTTAATATGCAGTCCCATATGCTTCTAATGTTTAGGTGAATTCCATGTTGGTTCGTGGTTATTACTGATCAGTAACCCATATCAGGGAGGATGTATGTCTGGTCTCAATTTGTATAGAACAGGTTTTCTTTGACTTTAGCTTCATTCTTGATGACTACTTGGACTCATCCATGCAATGTTGGCAATAATACCAAAGAGGTTTGCTTCTGGCTTCTTTCAGGAAGTTTTTTTTTTAATTTACCAATTCTTTATTTTTGCAAAATTACATTTTGTAGCAACTGTGAGAGGGACCTCAGAGTCCTAGTGGACAATCACTTGAATAGGAGCCAGCCGTGTGCTGCAGCTGCCAAAAAGGCCAACACAGTGCTGGGCTGCATTAACAGAGGGAGAGAATCAAGATCACATGAAGGGTTAATACCACTTTACAAGGCCTTGATAAGGCCACACTTGGAATACCGCACCCAGTTTTGGTCACCACGATGTAAAAAAGATGCTGAGACTCTAGAAAGAGCACAGAGAAGAGCAACAAAGATGATTCGGGGACTGGAGGTTAAAACATATAAGGAACGGTTGATAGAATTGGTTATGTCTGATTTAATTAAGAGAAGGACGAGGGGGGACAGGATAGCAGTCTTCCAGTATCTCAGGGGCTGCCCCAAAGAAGAGGGAGTCAAGCTATTCTCCAAAGCACCCGAAGGCAGGACAAGAAGCAACGGATGGAAACTCATCAAGGAGAGAAGCAACCTAGAACTAAGGAGAAACTTCCTGACAGTGAGAACAATTAACCAGTGGAACCACCTGCCTCCAGAAGCGGTGGATGCTCCAACACTGGAAGTTTTTAAGTAGAGACTGGACAGCCATTTGTCTGAAATGGTATAGGGTTTCCTGCCTGAGCAGCGGGTTGGACTAGGTGATCTCAAAGGTCCCTTCCAACATTATTATTATTGTTGTTGTTGTTGTTGTTGTTATTATTATTATTATTATTATTATTCAAATGTCATTCAATTATTAAACTAAATTGATTTGAGGAGTGTAAAACAGATGTTTCTCTTCCTTTAGCTGGCTTGTGGACAGTCTTTACACTAGGAGGAAGCAAGCGAGCCTCCCAGCAGGAAGAGTCATCACCTCTCGCAAATCAAAGTCTGTTGCTGCTGCTCATCTTAGTAAATCTGACCGATGCTGCAGATACACCCAACCCTTATAAACAATCGGTTGTGTCCTTCAGGAACACACAAGGTATGTATCTTTTAAAAAGTGCCAATTTCCTGGAAATTTTCCGGGAAATACCCCAGTGTCCCGACTTTCATTAGTTGATGATTTGGCTAAAGAAAAACATCCCAAAAAGTAAGAGTATACAGGGCTGTTTTGATTCCTTCGCCGAGCCACACTTTTAGGTTGGTTGTATGTAAAAAATTGTGCTCTCTCTCCTCTGGAGGAGTTGCATTGCCTCTTATACATGGGCAATATCTCATTTAATGACTGTCTCGCTTAGCAACAGAAATGTTGAGCTCAGTTTTGGTCATAAGTTGATTACTACCTGTATTCTCCTTTATTGGTACACAGCGTACTTTAAGATTACTTTTTCAAGAAAAGAAGGTTACTGTTTTTTAAATTCAGTTTCATTGTGGGGATAATTGTAGCAGAAGACATATATGAGGAATTTATACAGAGAAGTGTGTTTACACGTCAAATTTAAAGATAATGACTTCGCATGCTACAAACATTTTAGAGCCAACTCACTAATCCAGTGATGGCGAACCTTTTAGAGACCGAGTGCCCAAACTGCAACCCAAAACCCACTTATGCATTGTCGGGTGCCGGGTGGGTGTGGCCCATTGGGTGGGTGTGGCCCATTGGGTGGGCGTGGCTGCGGTGGTAACGGCAGACTGGGTGGGACTAAAAAGTTCAATCAATCAATTCCAACTTTGCAAGATCTTTTTTTTCTCACGAGAAGTTGAAATTGACTGATTGGTTGAACCTTTTTTTTTTTTTTTTTTGCACACGGTGGCCGAGGCCTAAAGTGAAAAGGTTTTATAAAACCCAGGTGAAGGCCTAGGGCGACGGCGCGTGTGTCCATAGAGAGGGCTCTGAGTGCCACCTCTGGCACCCGTGCCATGGGTTCGCCACCACTGGAGAAATGGTCAAAACCCATTTAAGTTTCATAGTCTTCAAGCTTAAACCTTGCTTGTAAGATAAACGATGAGTGAACATACTCTGGGAAGAATTGGTGGTTTGGAGAAGACTTCTTTCTCTGTTCATTTTCCCTATAAACTCCTTTCCCCTTTTAATTTTTTTTTTTCTCTATCTGAATATCAAAATAGGAATTCAGCTCTGGTGCTAGGAAATGGCTGAACGGGAGGCCATTTTCAGGGGAGATTCGTTTATTGCAAGGAATTCTCCCCCCCCCCCCAACCTTTATTTCTCCCATCAGTGCCCCCTCTATCTGTATGCACATTTTAGTTTCGCAAATAAGGGAGTTGCGAATATATCCTTGTGGAGAGATAACATGCAGTTCCCCTTGGCCTGAGTCAGACCACTGCCCTTTCTCATCACAAGCTGCCTTCATCTCTAGGCTGGGCCAGCTGTTCCAGCTAATCAGCATTATCAGTTCTACTGCTCGATAGCCTGATTAGCCTTTAATCAGACATAACAGAAACAGGGCAGTCCTGGTTCTTGTAAAACGTCACTGGGAGATTGACAGTCCTTGATCGTTTGGAAGGTTATAGGATGGTTCAATGAAAACAGATTAGATTCTTGTGTTTTAAATCACTCTTCCATCTGTTGAGGTAAGGTGATTTGTAATCATATCAGTCCCTCCTATGAATGCAGAGCCAATAAATAAGAAATAAACCTATGGTGGATGGACAGAGTCTCTGAAAAGGGCAAGGCCAAAGCCTGTTGGTCTGCAGACTGAAGGCTACTGAGTCACACCGCGAAGGCTAGCTTCATTTTTATTGGGACCAGAGGGGAAGAAACCTCGAAAAACGCGTCAAAAGGATTGCATTTCACTGTACACGATCTTTGACGTTTGTTTGTTTTCTTCCAGATAGCACAGCGTTGTCTTCACCAAATCCTCATGCTTTCCAGATCAATTTTAATAGTTTGTACACCACGTTGTGTGAGCAGCAAAACTCTGACCACGCCACCCTGCTCTTGTATAGCCTTTTGCACCAGAACAGCAATGTTCGAACATATATGTTGGCCCGGACAGATATGGAAAACCTGGTAAATATTTTCTCTGCGTGCAACTCATCAAGTCCAAAAATGTAACAGGAAATCTTCCGTGTGAAACGCCGGCTTTTGAATTGCTGAGAGAACGGGACGCTAGAGAGATGCTGCTTCCTTTAACTTGTGAATGAAGTGATTATAGGCAGCAGCTGATGGGTTTTAGAGTAGGTGGGGATTTGTGGGTGCTGGGTATGTTCAATTATGATTGGGGGGGGGAATCAAGATTCTGGTCCCTTCTCAGCCATTGAATCTCATTTGGGATCTTTAGGACCCCCACCTCACAGGTTAGGATTAAGTTATATGGTTAAAGGAATGAAGATTGCAGTGGACGCCACCTGGAGCTCTTGAAAGAAATAGGGCAGGGGTCTTCAAACTTGGCCCTTTGATGACTTGGGGACTTCAATTCCCAGAATTCCTCAGCCAACATGGGGGAACTTTGGCCCCTTCATGACGCATGCCTGGCTGAGGTATTCTGGGAGCTGAAGTCCACCAGTCATAAAAGGGCCAAGTGTTGAAGGCCCCTGGTCTGGATCCAAGCCCGCAGTTTCATCAAAATGGCCGACTGAGGAATTCTGGGAGTTGAAGTCCACCAGTCATCAAAGGGCCAAGTTGAAAGACCCCTGAAATAGGGAATACAAATCTAGCAAATAACTCTCACGACTTACTCTTTCTATACCTGTAACCAGCATTGATTTTCACCAGGCTCAAGAGTGACTCGTCCTTCCGAGTCGGTAAAATGAAGACCCAGATGGTTGGGGACCACATAGGCTCACTCTGTAAACCGCTTAGAGAGGGCTGTAAAACACTGCGAAGCAGCATATAAGTCTACGTGCTGTTGCTATTGCTATATATGCTATGGCTGTTCACCCAAGCCTGGTTCACGTAGCCCTTGACTTACAACTGTAGTTGAGCCTGGAATTACATTCATAAGATGGGGGAGGATCATGAAGCAGGTCACCACACAAGCGTGACCTTGTGATCCTTTTTGCAGTCTTAAAGCAAATGTCAGGGATGTTAAACAAATTCTTTGCCCGCAATTAATGTTTTTTGCCAGAAACCAGAAGTAAACACCAGTTTCCAGGAAAAAAAAACAACCTCATCAATTGTGGCCATGTGACTGTCGGATGCTGCAAACAGCCACAAATGCTGGCTGGTTGCTGAACACCCAGGATGTGGTGGGGGGGGGGGAGGTAAATGTCAATCTTTGAAATTGGGTTATAAGTCTCATTGTTGGGATCTGCCCTAATTTCGAAAGGGCGCTAAGCAACCAATCATAAGCCAAGGACGGCCTTTATTTGCTAAATGATTTTAAACGGAAAAAATGAAACTTAGCAGTTTTGTCTAGTGGTTAAGGTAGGGGTCTCCAACCTTGGCAACTTTAAGACTTGTGGACTTCAACTCCCAGAATTCCTCAGCCAGCTTTGGATTCAAATCCATCCCCACCCACCTTTATTTTTTAAGAAAATCCCCCTTTCTATGAAGCATCCTTGACAAAACACTGGGTTATTTCTTGGCTTCTGAATCCTACTTTATATTTGGCTAGTTTGGCTTTTTCTGACTTACTTTTTAAAAAAATAATTGCAAATGTTTGTTTAGCAACTAAAATTGGGACCGGCAACTCAATCGTTAAGCCAATTGGGTGGGTGGGTTTATTTTTTATTGATTGATGTGTATCCTGCCTTTGTTATTTTTGTAAACAACTCCAATATACATAATTCCCTTCTTCCTCCTGTTTTCCCCACAACAGCCTTGTGAGGTGGGTTGAGCTGAGAGGAAGGGACTGGCCCAAAGGCACCCAGCTGGTTTTTGTGCCTAAGGCAAGACTAGAACTCAGAGCCTCTTGGTTTCTAGCCTGGTGCCTTAACCCAGGGGTCCTCAACTTTGGCCACTTTAAGACTTGTGGACTTCAACTCCCAGAATTCCTCAGCCAGCCCTTAGGGGAGGAATTCTGGGAGTTGAAGTCCACAAGTCTTAAAGTGGCCAAGTTGGAAGACCCCTGCCTTAACCACTAGACTAGATAAAACTGTCTAAGTTTTTGGCTAAAATCAGGAGATTATTAAAGCCTGGATTTTTGGTTACAAGCATCCTAATATTAATTTGTCCTTATCTCTATTTTTTCCTTCCTGAGGTTTTGCCAATTCTTGAGATTCTTTATCATGTTGAAGAAAGGAATTCACATCACGTTTATATGGCACTGATAATTTTGTTAATCCTTACGGAAGACGACGGCTTCAATCAATCCATTCACGAAATTGTAAGTTAGGTATATTCAGAAGGCACGGTTGATTCACTGAACACAAAATAATGAGCAAAGGTCTATCTTAATGAAGATGAACGTAAATTTTTATGCATGCGTTGGACGTCTACTTTCTCAATACAGCTTTTTTTTTTTAATGAATTCTCATTTACTTTTCTTCTTGTAGCTTTTATTCCCAATACTTTTTGGAAGTACTCGTTGCTTTTTAGATAGATAGACAGACAGACAGACAGACAGACGGGTGGACGGATGGACGGACAGATAGATAAAGATATACAGATGCAGATACAGATATATAGATTAGATCAGTGGTGGCGAACCTATGGCACGCATGCCAAAGGCGGCACTCAGAGCCTAGTGGGAATGAATGGAAAACGATCAGAAATATCAACATTGTGCCTGTTTTAAAGGAAGAATAAAGGATAAACATTATACAGACGAGCGGGATTTTTTTGGAAGTAAACTCGTATCTGTCTCTAAGCTCCTTCTTTCGAATTCATTTTTTGGAGCGACCAGGAATGAGTGAGGCCTCCCCAGAAGCGGCTTTGTTTATTTTAAGCAGCTTTGGATGGAATCAGCTTTTGTCCTGTGGTCAAAAAGAGGGAAAATAAAAACAACTCCTTTGTCATGGTTCCGAAAGAAGAAGCTCTTCAAACAACCTTGAGGCATTGTTTACCTTAAAGAATCTTTAATTGCAACAATTCTACAAGGCCTTGGTAAGGCCACCCTTGGAATCCTGCATCCAGTTTTGGTCACCACGATGTAAAAAATATGTTGAGATTCTAGAAACTAGAGTACAGAGAAGAGCAACAAAGAGGATCAGGGGACTGGAGGCTAAAACACATAAGGAACGGTTGCTGGAATTGGGGATGTCTACTTTAACGAAGAGAAGGACGAGGGGGGACAGGATAGCAGTCTTCCAGTATCTCAGGGGCTGCCCCAAAGAAGAGGGAGTCAAGCTATTCTCCAAAGCGCCTGAGGGCAGGACGAGAAGGAACGGATGGAAACTGACCAAGGAGAGAAGCAACTTGGAACTAAGGAGAAACTTCTTGATAGTGAGAACAATTAACCAGTGGAACAACCTGCCTCCAGAAGCTGTGAATGCTCCAACACTGGAAGTTTTTAAGAAGAGACTGGACAGCCATTTGTCCGAAATGGTGTAGGGTTTCCTGCCTGAGCAGGAGGTTGGACTTTATGACCTCCAAGGTCCCTTCCAACTTTATTATTATTATTATTAGTAGTAGTAGTAGTAGTAGTAGTAGTAGTAGTATAACATAGCTTCCCCACGTACATAGAGAAGCCAAAATCTGAATTCTCCTCCCCCAAACACACAGTATCTAAGCATAACTCACTCCTTCATTTAATGATCATTAATCACATTCTCAATTAATTTGAAGTGCGAACTTTCCCTCCGTAACTGGCTATTACTTATCTTCTCTTATTACAACCAACCTTGAAGAACACTCTACTGAGATATTGTTAGGGCTAACTAGTCCCCAAGCACATTCTTCCCCCTCCCCTCCAGCACCACCTAATTTTAACTCCAAAGGTAACACAGGTTGAATAGAAAATGTTTGCATCTTCATGTATTGTCAAGCAAGAACATCCGATGTTAGCAGCCTTGACACCCTTATTCTGGCGGAGTTTTCCATGCTCCCTTTTGTGGCCTGTCAAGAGCCCTGGAATTTGTTTTCCTCTTGGGCAGGGGTGTCAAACTCAATTTCATTGAGGGCCGCATCAGCATTGCGGTTGCCCTGGGGGGGGGGGTCAGAGTGGGTGCGGCCTACTGGGTGGGTGTGGATGGAGTGGGTGTGGCCTATTGGGTGGGCCAGCTCTACATCGTTCAAGGGTGCCTGTGGGGGTCTGGGCAGGAGTGGGACTGATCTGGGGGTCTCTGGCAGAAGGGGGTGGGACCGGGGCAAGCGCCAAGGCATGGTCCATTGGAGGAGCCTGCTGAAACCCTTCCCCAGGGCCCGTCAAGCCGGATACGTGAAGTAGGCAAGGGCCATTTGCTGGCCACTTCCAAGTGATGGTCCATTTCTTCATTCCTCACAAAGGGTGACCCCTCCCCAGCAGGCACCCAGGGGGCGGGGGTGACGCGGCAGGGGCCGGTTCCTTGCTGTTTCCAGAGGGCCTTGTGGAGCTAAGACTGAATGCGTTTCAGCATCGATGGCCGCCACAAAATTGTACATTGGCTCCCGTCCGGCCTGGGCCAGGGCCAAGGCAGCGGGGGCCGTTCCCTCACTGTTTCCAGGATGGCTTCGCGGGCCACATGAAACCACTTCGTGGACCGCATCCGCCCCCCAGGCCTCGTGTGTGACATGTCTGCTCTTGGGCTTCACAACCCCCATTCATTGATTGGGAGTTTAGATTAATTTGGGTAAGTACCATTTCACACATCCCCGATTACGGGGAGGCCTCGACTCACAGCCACAACTGGGCCCAGCGTTTCCATTGCTAAGCGAGACAGTCATTAAGTAGGTTTTGCCCCATTTCATGGCCTTTCTTGCCACCGTTGTTAGCTGAATCACTGCAGTTGTTAAGTTAGTCCCACGGCTGTTAAGTGATTCTGACTTCATTGACTCTGCTTGTCAGAAGGTGACAAAAAGGGGGGTCACGTGACCCCCGGGACGCTGCAACCGGCATAAGTTCAGGCCAGTTTCCAAGCATTTGAATTTGGAGCGCGTGACCGTGGAGATGCTGCAACGGTCATAAGGGTGAAACACGCTCATAAGTCACTTTTTTAAAGTGTCGTAACTTTAAACGCTCACTAAATGAAGCGTTGTAACTGTAACTGTATACGGGCCCTTATTTCAGCTCCCTCAAGGAAGCCACAAACCTCTTTTTAATGTTATTTTCTTTAAAAAAAAACTTTCTTAAAGCCACTGCAATTGTAGGTTGCCTTAACAGGGAAAGAATCACGATAACGTAAAGTATTAGTACTGCTTTATAAAGCCTTAGTAAGACCACCCTTAGAATATTGCATCCAGTTTTGGTCAAAATATTATTAAAAAGATGCTGAGACTCTAGAAAGAGTGCAGAGAAGAGCAACAAAGATGATCAGGGGACTGGAGGCTAAAACCTATAAGGAACGGTTGCTGGAATTGGGTATGTCTAGTTTAATGAAGAGAAGGACGAGGGGGGACAGGATAGCAGTATTCCAATATCTCAGGGGTTGCCGCAAAGAAGAGGGAGTCAAGCTATTCTCCAAAGTCCTTAGAAGGCAGGACAAGAAGCAACAGATGGAAACTAACCAAGGAGAGAAGCAAACCTGGAAATAAGGAGAAACTTCCTGACAGTGAGAACAATTAACCAGTGGAACAGCCTGCCTTCAGAAGCTGCAAATGCTCCAACACTGGACGTTTTTAAGAAGAGACTGGACAGTCACTTGTCTGAAATAGTATAGGTCCTCCTGACTGAGCAGGGGGCTGGACTAGAAGATCTCCAAGTTCCCTTCCAACTCTGTTATTCTGTTAATGTGCCCAGAAGATCCTTGTCTGAAATAAAAATGTGACTTAGGACTCTTTGGAAAGAAGATTTGAAAATGCAAGTTCTCCCTTTAGAACAGGAACGGTCGTGTTCCTGTTTATTTCTTTTGTTTATTTGTTTACTGAGGCAGATATGCTGCTCCAGTGAAATAGGATGCTGGGTGGCTGACAGTTCCAGATCCACTCTGCAAAGTAGAAGCATCGCAATCCTGCACAGATGTAACAAAAACAATCAAGGTAATTACCATAGCACTCTTCTTCCGGAAGCTCATGCCCCCTTTTCCCAAAGGATTTCTCTGGCTTTCCAAAATGCTCGGCTTGAGTCTTGACTTTATAAATATTGGGAACGGTCAGTGATGTTTAAAAAATAATGGAGCGTCATTTTCTTTGGGGAGAGCTTCTGTGCTGCGTTTCTCATCCGTGGATCTCCACACACGTTCATTTAATTCAGGCAGGATTCCAATTAATAGGAGGACAGAATTTGAATTGGGCAACCTGATTTTCTACTCCGCTGGAAGCCTCTGTAGGTAGTCCTTGACTTATGACCACAATTTCTGTTGCTAAGTGAGACGTTTGTTAAGTGAGTTTTGCCCCGTTTTACCACCTTTCCTGCCACCGTTGTTGGGTGGAATCGTGGCAGTTGTTAAATTAGTAACGTGGTTGTTAAGTGAATCCAGCTTCCCCATTGACTTTGCTGATCAGCTGACCCCGGGATTCTGCAGCCGTCGGTCGCCAAGCGTCTGAATTTGGCTCACGTGACCGTCACAGTCCTAGCTGTGAAGAACGGTCACTCTTCTCAGTGTCTTTGTAACTTTGAACAGTCGCCAAATGAACTGTTGTAACTTGAGGATTACCTTGAGCAATTAATCGTTGCTGAATGAAAATAACCCTTATCCTTAAAAGCACTTTGACGATCCGAGATGAACATAATGTCAAAGGAACAAGTACAGATTGGGTGAGATCTGGCTCAAAAACAGCAAGTGTGAGAGGGACCTTGGAGTCCTAGTGGACGATCGCTTGACCGTGAGCCAGCCGTGTGCAGCAGCAGCCAAAAAAGCTAACACAATCCTGGGTTGTATAAACAGAGGCATAGAATCAAGGTCATGTGGAGTGCTAGTAGCGCTTTATAAGACCCTAGTGAGGCCATACCTAGAATACTGCAGCCAATTCTGGTCACCACATCACAGAAAAGATGTTGAGAGTTTGGGAAAAGTTAAGAGAAGAGCAACTAAGTACAGTGTTTCTCAACCTTGACCATTTTAAGGCATGTGGACTTCAACTCCCAGAATTCCACAGCCAGCATTGCTGGCTGTGGAATTCTGGGAGTTGAAGTCCACATGCCTTAAAATGGTCAAGGTTGAGAAACACTGAACTCAGAGGATCCAAGGCCTGGAGACCAAAACATACAAAGAATGACTGGGGGACTTGTGCTTGGCTAGTGTAAACAAGAGAAGAAATAGGGGAGACAAGATAGCAGTGTTCCAGTATCTGAAGAGCTGCCACAAAGAAGAGAAGGGGGTCACTAGAGAGAAGGATGAGAAACAATGGTTGGAAACTGACCAAAGAGAGAAGCAACCTGGAATCAAGGAGAAACTTCCTGACAATGACGACAATTAACCAGTGGAACAGCTTGCCACCAGAAATCGTGGACGCTCCATCCCTGGAGGTTTTTAAGAAGAGACTGGACAGCCACTTGTTTGAGATGGCAGGTTCTCCTGCTTGAGCAGGGGGCTGGACTAGAAGACCTCCAGGGTCCCTTCCAGCTCTATTCTATTCTAATTATCCTATCTTCCATAAGTTCCTCAGCTCTTCCTCCTTTGCTTCCCTTTCCAGAATCATCTTAACTAAGCTGAGAAGGCGATGCTGACATCCTTCCCTCCCCAACTCTCTCAGGGGCAGGGAGGAGTAGCGGCTACAGACCTTACAAGCGTGAGCTGAAGGTAGTAGCAGCCCACCCTGTACCCGTGATTCCTTCCTCTGGCGTTCAACGAGAAGGGCAGATTTCTAAAGTTCCTCTGGGAAGCCAGAGTGCCCAGTCAGGCTGGATTAACCGGAGTCGGTCAAAGATTTAGTTAAACACACATTGAGACGTTTAACTGTTGAGGACGCCCGTTTCTACCCTCTTGCTCAAGGAACGTAAAATCTGCTGGTGAATGAGAGGCTGAGAATAAGTGAAAGCCCTGCCAGAGGCTTTTCTTTTACTCTGATATTCCTGCAACTCGTGTGTGTGAAACGGATTTGTGCTGGTTATATATCTTCGGAGCCGTTTGTTATCCCGGTGTCTTTTGCGCTTGGAATTAATCCGCCTCTCAGAATGAGAAAGTGAGTCCAGCTGGCAATTGGGAAAGAGAGGCTGGCCTATTTTGTCCTCCCCAGGGGTGGGGGTTCTTTCCCTCCGTCCCTCTCTCCCTCCCTCTCTCCTTTTTCCTTTTCCTTCCCTCACTTTTCCTCTGTCCCTCCCTCCCTGTCTCCCTCTCTCCCCCCTTTTCTCCCCCTTTCTCCCACCCTCCCTCTCTCCCCCTCTCCTTTCCCCCTTTATTTCCCTCTCTCCCTGACTCCCTCTTTCTCCCCCTTTCTCTCCCTCCCTCCCTCTCTCCCTCTCTCCTTTCCCCCTCTCTTTCCCTCTGTCCCTCCCTGTCTCCCTGTGTCCCCCTTTTTCTCCCCCTTTCTTCCACCTTCCCTCTCTTTCCCTCTGTCCCTCCCTCCCTGACTCCCCCTTTTTTCCCCTTTCTCCCACCCTCCTCCCTCTCTCTCTCCATTCCCCCTTTCTTTCCCTCTCTCCCTGACTCCCTCTTTCTCCCACCCTCCCTCCCTCTCTCCCTTCCTCCTCTCTTTCCCTCCCTCCCTCCCTCTCTCCTTTCCCCCTTTATTTCCCTCTCTCCCTGACTCCCTCTTTCTCCCCCTTTCTCTCCCTCCCTCCCTCTCTCCCTCTCTCCTTTCCCCCTCTCTTTCCCTCTGTCCCTCCCTGTCTCCCTGTGTCCCCCTTTTTCTCCCCCTTTCTTCCACCTTCCCTCTCTCTTTCCCTCTGTCCCTCCCTCCCTGACTCCCCCTTTTTTCCCCTTTCTCCCACCCTCCTCCCTCTCTCTCCATTCCCCCTTTCTTTCCCTCTCTCCCTGACTCCCTCTTTCTCCCACCCTCCCTCCCTCTCTCCCTTCCTCCTCTCTTTCCCTCCCTCCCTCCCTCTCTCCTTTCCCCCTTTATTTCCCTCTCTCCCTGACTCCCTCTTTCTCCCCCTTTCTCTCCCTCCCTCCCTCTCTCCCTCTCTCCTTTCCCCCTCTCTTTCCCTCTGTCCCTCCCTGTCTCCCTGTGTCCCCCTTTTTCTCCCCCTTTCTTCCACCTTCCCTCTCTCTTTCCCTCTGTCCCTCCCTCCCTGACTCCCCCTTTTTTCCCCTTTCTCCCACCCTCCTCCCTCTCTCTCTCCATTCCCCCTTTCTTTCCCTCTCTCCCTGACTCCCTCTTTCTCCCACCCTCCCTCCCTCTCTCCCTTCCTCCTCTCTTTCCCTCCCTCCCTCCCTCTCTCCTTTCCCCCTTTCTTTCCCTCTCTCCCTGACTCCCTCTTTCTCCCACCCTCCCTCCCTCTCTCCCTTCCTCCTCTCTTTCCCTCCCTCCCTCCCTCTCTCCTTTCCCCCTTTATTTCCCTCTCTCCCTGACTCCCTCTTTCTCCCCCTTTCTCCCACCCTCCCTCCCTCTCTCCCTCTCTCCTTTCCCCCTCTCTTTCCCTCCCTCCCTCCCTCTCTCCTTTCCCCCTTTATTTCCCTCTCTCCCTGACTCCCTCTTTCTCCCCCTTTCTCCCACCCTCCCTCCCTCTCTCCCTCTCTCCTTTCCCCCTCTCTTTCCCTCTGTCCCTCCCTCCCTGACTCCCCCTTTTTTCCCCTTTCTCCCACCCACCCTCCCTCCCTCTCTCTCTTCTTTCCCCTTTCTTTCCCTCTCTCCTTGACTCCCTCTTTCTCCCCCTTTCTCCCACCTTCCCCCTCTCTCCCTCTCTCCTTTCCCCCTCTCTTTCCCCCTCCCTCCCTCTCTTCTCTCCTTCTCCCCCTTTCCCCCTCCCTTCCTCTCCCTCTCTCTTTCCTGCTTTTTAATGTCTATATAAGGCCGATGGGAGGCACAGTCTGTTCTGGATGGAGGGGGTATTCTCAGATATACGTCTATATTTTAGGCCAAGCCAAAGATATTTGGGGAAACTTGGTCTTCTAAGTCAGGGCTCTGCCACCTTGACGACTTTAAGCCTGGTAGACTTCAGCTCCCAGAATTCCTCAGCCAGCATAGCTGGCTGAGGAATTCTGGGAGCTGAAGTCCACCAGGCTTAAAGTTGTCAAGGTGGCAGAGCCCTGTTTTAAGTGCCTGAAGGCTACAAAGATATGGAGAAACAAATTAAAGATTGAATCTCTCAACAAGAGGTGACTGTTTTCCAGAAGCCATCTTGTTCTCTGGGGCATAGAAGCAGATGCACAGTTTGGAGAGCGGAAGCCATGGTTAGTTTGCCTTTGGCCAGCTCTGGCTGCTCTTCCAGGTCGGTAGAACACAACTAGATTCACTCTTATTCAAACAGTTATGTTAAATAACCCACACAGTCGCCCTTTTCTTTGCATTCTGGAGAGGATTCTATGGCTGTCAGTACCTTGACATTTTTGAAGAGGCGGTTTGTTTTTTTTTTTAAATTTCTTTTAAAAAATATTTTATGTGCAAATCGATCATGCTAGAGCAGTGGTGGCAAAGCTATGGCACGGATGCCAGAGTTGGCACTCAGAGCCCTCTCTGTGGACACACACACCATCGCCCCAGCCCCGCCACCCCCGTGGCCCCCTCCTCACCAGCAGCCCCCCCGGAGGAGAGTCACCCCACGCGCAGCCTGCGCAGAACAGCGCAGCGCAGCCAAGCACATGGCAGCGAGGACAAGACTCTGCCCTCGCGCCCCATCGTGTACAGATGAAGCTGCAGGGCGTGGACAGAGGGCATGGCTGCCATGATGCTGCTGGGCCACCATGGCGATCTGCTGTGGCGGGTCGTGGAGGTAGTGGGTGGCCCTGCGGGCAGGAGAGGCGGGGCAGGGGCAAGGCAGTTTTTGGGCACTTGGTGTCTAAAAGGTTCGCCATCAATGCACTAGAGGCCACACTTGGAATTCTGCATCCAGTTTTGGTCACTGCGATGTGAAAAAGATGCTGAGACTCTAGAAAGAGTGCAGAGAAGAGCAGCAAAGATGATCAGGGGACTGGAGGCTAAAACATACAAGGAATGGCTGCTGGAATTGGGGATGTCTAGTTTAATGAAGAGAAGGACGAGGGGGGACAGGATAGCAGCCTTCCAGTATCTCGGGCTGCCCCAAAGAAGAGGGAGTCAAGCTCTTCTCCAAAGCACCTGAGGGCAAAGACAAGAAGCAATGGATGGAAACTAATCAAGGAGAGAAGCAACCTAGAACTAAGGAGAAACTTCCTGACAGTGGGAACAATTAACCAGTGGAACAACCTGCCTCTAGAAGCTGTGAATGCTCCAACACTGGAAGTTTTAAAGAAGAGACTGGACAGCCATTCGTCCAAAATGGTATAGGGTTTCCTGCCTGAGCAGGGGGTTGGATTAGATGACCTCCAAGGTCCCTTCCAACTTTATTATTATTATTATTATTATTATTATTATTATTCACTTTTCTACCTTAGGAAATAGAATCTGAATTGAGGGCATGACGTTGACTTGTCAAGGTTAATAATACACTCCGTTCCTCTCCGTCTTTGCAGATCCTGAAAAATATTACTTGGTATTCAGAGCGTGTGCTGACCGAGATTTCGCTGGGGAGCCTTCTGATTCTCGTCGTCATAAGGACCATTCAGTACAACATGACAAGGACAAGGGTAAGTTTTGTAGCTTAGATTTATTTCAAGTGGAGCAGATGTTTCATTTTCTGCAGGGGCAACCAAAGTTTCTAGCAAAAGCTAGTACTGTATAAAGAGCCCGTCCTTGGCCCGTGGAGGAAAGAGGTCTGAAATGAAATCCCAGTCTTGTATGACTCTAGGGCAGGGATGGGGAACGACGGCCCCTTTATGGCCTGTGGACTTCAACTCCCAGAGTTCCTGAGCATGGTTGGCTCAGGCATCCTGGAAGTCCAGGAGTCCTAAAGGGAGCCATGGTTCCCCATGCTGGCTCAGGAATTCTGGGAGTTGAAGTCCATCAGTCATGAAGGGAGCCATGGTTCCCCATGCTGGCTCAGGAATTCTGGGAGTTGAAGTCCATCAGTCCTAAAGGGAGCCATGGTTCCCCATGCTGGCTCAGGAATTCTGGGAGTTGAAGTCCATCAGTCCTAAAGGAGCCATAGTTCCCCATGCTGGCTCAGGAATTCTGGGAGTTGAAGTTCACAGGTCATAAAGGGGCCGTCGTTCCCCATGCTGGCTCAGGAATTCTGGGAGTTGAAGTCCATCAGTCATAAAGGGGCCATAGTTCCCCCATGCTGGCTCAGGAATTCTGGGAGTTGAAGTTCACAGGTCATAAAGGGGCCGTCGTTCCCCGCCCCTGCTCTAGAGAGATGAAATAGATGCAAGGAAGGAAGAAAATATGGGACATGTCCGTTGTAATCCAAACACCAAAGTTGCTCAAGAAGGGAAAAATATAAATGCTTCAGCTCTAATAACTCACGTTTTTTTTCTCCCCCATCGAATACGTGAAGCTATCTTATGCAATTAGGCAACTAGTCTGCAAAAGGCAGCGTGGGTGGTAATGGTGAGGCACAAGCGCTAAACCTGATGGTGTTGGGGTGGGAACTTTGCAGAATAGCATTCAGCACGGAGTTTTACGTTTCGATAAGCGTGGCTCCTATAGTGCTCGTTTAAGTGACGCCTCCTTTGTGTGAGAGATTGTGTACCAGTTTGTAAGTAATATGGGAAATGTATTGTTACAAGCCTACATTTTTATGGGGGGGGGGGTAAGCTGCATTTAGCCAAATAAAGTAAACATTAAAGCTTGAAATATAAGCCGCTTTACCTTGAAATGTTGGTCAGCATTAATGAACTCAGCAACTCCAGCATAAAAGATGTAAAGCTATTGAGCTAGGACAGTGTTTCTCAACCTTGACCATTTTAAGGCATGTGGACTTCAACTCCCAGAATTCCACAGCCAGCATTGCTGGCTGTGGAATTCTGGGAGTTGAAGTCCACATGCCTTAAAATGGTCAAGGTTGAGAAACACTGAGCTAGGATGACTTAAGCCAGGGGTCTTCCAACTTGGCCACTTTAAGACTGGTGGACTTCAACTCCCAGAATTCCTCAGCCAGCCCTCAGGGCTGGCTGAGGAATTCTGGGAGTTGAAGTCCACCAGTCTTAAAGTGGCCAAGTTGGAAGACCCCTGACTTCAGCTATCCAAGGCTTGGTTTGCTTTTATTGCCCCTCTGCCTCCAGTAAATAGCAAAAGACTGGGGAATTCTTTCTTTTTGACAGGCCCTGCAGTGTCCAGGAAGGATAATCTGATATGTGTGTATGTGTGTTTTTTTTCCCCATCTCATCTCAAACAGGACAAATACCTCCATACAAACTGCTTGGCAGCCCTAGCCAACATGTCCGCCCAGTTCCGCTCGCTTCACCAGTACGCCGCGCAGAGAATCATCAGGTAAATGCCAGTCTTGTACGGAATAATCCCATGACGTTTTGTTTTCAGTTCTGCCGGAGCGAACCTCCAGTCCCTAAATTTAAATATTGACCCTGAACTTCTGTTCAGCTTCACCGAGTCTAGAGTAAATGTTTATGGATGGTATGGATGGCAAACATTAATATTGCTGGCCCTGAGAAAAAAGCAACTAATGGGTAACGTGTCGGAAAAAGCCCTGCTTAATCAGTATTGAATAAATGAATATATTATTGAGTTAAGGGTGATTTGTGACAGATGCCTGTGAAACGAGGGTTCTACAAGAGCAGTTATTTGTGATTTGTGTGAAGTATTTTATGTGGACTGATGAAGCTGCTTGATGTCCCTTCTCAATATTTAAAAATTCAGTGTATTTGAGGGATTTTCTGCAAGTGATTTGCCGGCCAAGGAAATGTCTCCCTGTAAATCGGCTTCAGGAAGACAAGGCAGTGTCCACAATTATTCTGTGCACATTCAGTTCCTCACTAGACCTGCGTGGTGCAACTGTTGCCGTGTGTCAAAACGGGGGTGTGCGTGTGGCTCAGGACTGAGAATTTAATACAACTTGCCTTCTTCACATGGAACCCCAACATTCAGAGTTCCTTAGTCCACTGCTTGAGTATCACTGCATCCTTATTCCAGGTCTTTGGTTCTTAACCTTTTTGAACGAATCGCCCCCTTGAGCCAATGAGGAAGTTGTCATCGCCCCCCTCCCCCAACATAACCTCTCAATCACAACATAGGAAATAATTCTTCCATTTATGCAAACACTTGTTTTGTTTTCTTTAAAATTGTCATCAGGACATATCGATACAAATAATTTATTTCCAATCTTTTTCCCATATCTCCCATATTCTGGCTAATGGTGTGCCACTGTATGGGCAGAGGCTGTTGCGCAACTCACATGAAGATAAGCGATGCGTATTCACATATGTACAGCGTTCTGTACTGAAGCTAGCCAGAGGAACATTTGAAAATACAATTCAATCCACTAATAGCGAGCGATCTGTTGTTTTTGTATGACAGATATACAGCGATTCACTGTACGAAAAAGTCTCAAAAGTGTCCCCAAAAATTCTCGCTCCATCGCCCCCATATCGTCCCCTTTTCATTCCTTCACCCCCACGTCGCCCCTTTTCATTCCATCGCCCCCCTGAAAAATGAAATCGCCCCCTGGGGGGCAATATCGCCCAGGTTAAGAACCACTGCTCTAGGTCACAGGGGTAGGTAACCTCGGCTCTTTTATGATTCGTGGACTTCAGCTCCCAGAATTCCTGAGTCAGCAGAGCTGACTCAGGAATTCTGGGAGCTGAAGTCCACGAGTCATAAAAGAGCCGAGGTTGCCTACCCCTGCTCTAGGAAATCTAACTTACACAATTAAAACGAAGCTAGATAATATATCTTATCCTATCCACCATGCCCCCCCCCTGTGAAGTCTGACCCCACCCCTGTCCTTCCGCAAGGGCTTGAAGACCCGGCTCTGCCCGTTGGCCTGGGGACTTTCCAGCACAGGAAATCGGGAGTCCAGGCAGTTCAGATGAATATATAGGTTTATTATATGCGAACGTTTTCTACAAGAATCTGAACTACTAACGGTCAAAGCGACTTGGCAATAGATAGTGGTGGGATTCAGCCGGTTCGCACCAGTTCGGCAGAACCGATACCTAAGCCACCCCTGCCGCCTCCCTCTGCCAACCCTTTGTTGCCGCTACCGTACTTCCTTGCGCACACTTTCTTGTCGCCCTGCATCAGCCACGTCTCCCTTCTCCATTCTGGAAATGGCAGCCCCGTTTCCAGCAGAAGGGAGAAAAGGAAAGACGCATTGTCTGGAAGGATGCTAATGGGTCCCTGTAGGAAATGACCAGGCTGGACCGGAGGGAGGGGTCAAGTGCATCATCAGCCTTGAGTCCCTTTGTACCCACAAGTGATCAAAGTCCAGTCCACCCTGAATCCCATTGACTCTTATGTTCTGCCAGTGGTGGGATTCAAATAATTTAACAACCGGTTCTCTCTGAAATCACAGAACCCTTTAAGAGGTGCGTAAAAACCCGCCCTAGGGAAGGGCGGGCGGCGAGCTGCCCCATGCACCCCATACCTGTTTACTTCAGGGCCCCCATACCCAGGCCACTCCCCACTCGGTGATCTCCCCACGCCGGTTCAATGACCCAGCTGCCCACCCGCCTCTTCCCTTTCACTCCCCTCCCGAGCCGGACTGGGTCTCCACCATTCCAGAGCCAAAGGGGAGTGACGGCAACAGCCGCGTCTGCTGCTGGAGGGGCTTTCTTCGGTCCCCACCACCCCTGCCGCCCTTCCCCCTTCCATATCTTTGAGCACTTGACTCCCTTTTCTTCTCACCTTTTGTCTTCTTTGCTAAGTCTTGCCAGTTACAGAAGCCGTTCAGGCCATTATTTCCCTACAGCACCTGTGACGCCTGGACTAAACACCTCCTTGCAGCTGAATTCTGCTCCTTGCTTTAAACCAGGGTTCTCCAAACTCCAGATGCTGGCTGGGACATTCTAGGAGTTGAAGCGCCTTTAAGTTTTACGGTTGTCATGTCAGAGCATGCACAGTCTTATTGCGCTGAGGTAATCCAGGAGTAAATACAGTAAACAGTGGTTTGTAATTAAATGGTGGTTTATATTACACTATATCTACAAATATACACTAGAAATAAAATACATACATGTGGTGAAACAGCAAACTCCAATATACAGCAATTGCAGCAGTCAAATGGACCAGAGAGAAAAACTCCAGCAAAAAACTTCCCTTTTATACTCAGACTCTTAAAGGGATACAGTCCCTGCTTTCTCTTAAAGGGACACAGACACTGCTTTGTCATTCCTATCATTGCATCATCCACCTTACATTACCTCTTTACATAAGCTGTTTAGCTATTAATTATCCTGACATGTCAAGCTTGGGGACCCTGTTCTAACCCAAGCAAGCCCTCCAACAATACGCTCTCTCAGGAAAGAGCTTTCCCTGGAGCAGTGGCAGCGATCTTAGTAACACCGTGTTTTCCCCAAAATAAGACCTGGTCTTATTTTTATATTTTTATTTTTTGCCTCCAAAAGAGGCACCAGATCTTATTTTGGGGGTGGGGGGGTCTTTTCCACTCACCTCCAACACTGCCAGCCTCCCCCCCAGCTGGCCCCCTTCTTCCGCAGCCGAAGGAGCAGCTTAATTCTGCAGCTCCCGCCAGCATTTCGCACTCGGAGGCCTTTCTGGAAGGGCACTGGAGCTGATAACCGAGCTACAGATTGAATCCGTAGCTCGCTTCTTGGCTGCAGAGGCCTTCTGGAAAGGCCTCTGATGCCAAAATGCAGGCCGGGGGACGCCGACCAGAAGAAGTGGGCCGTTGAGGTGAGGCAGGTGTCAATTCACGGGAGGGCTAGTAAGCGGGTGTGGGGCACGTGGGGCAGTTCCACCCCCACGCCGCCCTAGCTTAGTTTCTAGGTGCGCGCCCTACCCCCAAACTAGGGCTTATTTTGGGGGTAGGGCTTATTTTAGGCCCACCCCCAAAAATCAAGCTAGGGCTTATTTCCGGGGTAGGCCTTACTTTCGGGGAAACACGGTATCATAGGCTGATAGTTCTTGAAAAATGAAGAACCTGGGTTGTAACTTAGTATACTCTTGAAAAACCAGTTAGGTTCACCGACTACATGAGGAATCCTCGAGTTATGTCAGTCCCATCGTAGTCATAACTCACAATGATCGTAAATTGGGTCCCTCACACGATCAACCCAATTTTGAAACCTTTTGGGGATCGGTCGTTAAGTGGTTCTCAGTGGGAAAGGTTTTTCTTAAAACTGGAAATCAATGCTCTTGTTTTGGGCAAAAACATTGTAAAACACAGTCACATGACCACAGGATGCTGCCAGGAGCCATTTGCCAGGTGTCTGCCAATGCTGCTAACATCGGATGTTTCTGCATTGACAACATTTTACCTTTTGCTTTTAGAGTTAGATGATGCTGGGAGGGGGGATGTGAACAAGAGTCCAGCTAGACCAGTGTTTCTCAACCTTGACAATTTTAAGGCATGTGGACTTCAACTCCCAGAATTCCACAGCCAGCAATGCTGGCTGTGGAATTCTGGGAGTTGAAGTCCACATGCCTTAAAATTGTCAAGGTTGAGAAACACTGAGCTAGACATAACAACACTAGACCTAGTGTGAGAATCAAGGTTATTGTAACCAGAGCTGATAAGGAATTGGCCAGGCTGGAGAACTGGAGAGGAAGCCCGTGTTTAAGCTAATTGGGGAATATGATTTATGACAGTTAATTGGAGGAGGGAATTGTGCGTTGATACTAGGTGCCCAGGGGAGGGGAATTCAGTTTTTGGCTTTGATTATGCAGTGCCGATGCTATGCTATTCAAAATAAAGATTCTTTAAGGTAAACATTGCCTCTGTCGGAACCATGACAGTACCTAAAGAGTGGACACATAACTGGTGTGTGAGTGTGTGTGTGTGAATCATCATAACTGTGAATCCAGGTCATAAGTATTCTCAGGGAGATCCATCATAACTTCATTCGGTTGCTAAGTGACCGTTTGTAAATCAAGGCTTTCCTGTATTTCAACTATGCTTTGTTGAGCAGGCCATTGTGGTCGGCTACCCTCAACTGCGTTCGAGCTAAAAAGGCAAAGTTTACAAACCACCACGCCAACTAAAATCGTGGAAAATCACATTATACCACGATGCAGGAAATCAGCCAGTCGCTGCTGCTGCTGCTTTCCACCAGGCTCTCTTGCAAGTCTTATTTGCTTAGTCTCTAGAAACCTCCTCAGGATGTTTGCTCCCATTTGGTTTGCTCTGCGCTCTAAAATCTGCATTTGTTTCTCTTAGCATTGCCACTTCTGTAGCAAGTCTTTCGGGTGTTTATATAGTTTTGTAGAGTGCTGTATTAAAGTTTTCTCAGAAAAACCACACGCTAAAGCCATCGTTTCTGCCTAGCCTCTGAATGGAGCAGTGTTTCTCAATCTTA